GATATTAGAGAATCAGATGTGCTAACTTTCCTGGACCACCCAAAGTAAAACAAGCATAATATTGTGCACCAACTGGGTAAGAGGTGACACGTGACACATTTTTGTTTTCTTTCTTTAAGGTAAATACAAGTGTCGGGGGGAGGGGGATAAAACTCAGGTAAAAGTCAATAGTGAAAAATACACTTTTCACTCCAACGTCCAGTCCAGCAACTCTCCTGTCCCCAGATACAACAACTGTTGCCAGTTTCTTAGGTATACTGTCCGTTTTCTTACACTTCTGAGATCACATTATATATACTCTTCTGTTCTCTTAACAGTATATCTTGCATATTGTAACTCATTCTTTTTCAGAAGTGCATAGTAATTCATGATACACCATGCCCGTCCAGAAAAAATCAAGCCATTGTTAATATAACAAGAATGGTTTGTGACATTGATGTACCCTGGCAGCCAAGGAGAGGGGACTGGAATGCGCATCTGTGAACAATGAAGACTTCACTCTACTAGTCAGTGGGGGCGGTGGACGCCATTGAGTGAGCGCGTGTACTGTGTGGCCGTCTCATTCAAAATGACTGAGCCAGTAGAGCAACGAATCTGCATCAGATTTTGTTAAGCTTGACCATTTCTCCATGGAAACTATTTGGGTGATTCCGAAGGCTGCAGCTATGGGCAACTGGTGATTGGCAGCTTCATCATGACAATGTGCCTGCTCATGCATCATGTCTTATGCAGAATTTTTTGTGAAACGTCAAATTGCCGAGGTGACTCAGCTCTGCCACAACCCGATTTGGCACCCTGTGACTTGTGGCTTTTCCCAAAACTAAAATCACCTTTGAAAGGGGAGAGACTTCAGACCATTGATGAGATTCAGGAAAATACGACAGGGCAGCTGATGGCAATTGGGAGAACTATGTGAGGTCCCAAGGTGCCTATTTTGAAGGGGACAGAGGTGTCATTGTCCTATGTACAATGTTTCTTGTATCTTCTTCAACAACCCAATTTTTCATAGTACATGAACGGATACTTTCTGAGGGACCACATTTCGTGTGTGTGTATATACATATAGTAATTTATTTAACCGGTTTCCTACTTATGGGGAATTAAACAATTTCTAGTTTTTTTGCTACAAAACAAGGCAGCAGTGAATATCTATCTATCCATTTTTACATTAGAAATAGGTATATCTTTGTGCGTGCACGAGTCCCATAATTCCAGATGTGAAATCGCTGCGGCAAAGGCTGTGTGCACTTGCTCTTTGGGGGCCGCCACAGCCGAGCGCCCGCCAGGCCGCTGTGCTGATGCTGACTCTCAGTGACCGTGAGTGAGCATTCCCGTTCCCCGAACCCTCCGCATTATCACCAGTGCATTATCATTCTTTTGTAGTTTGCAAATCTGTTTGTAAAAACTCTAATTTCAGTGTAGTTTTTGTGTGTATTTTTTTTTCAGTTGTTAATGAGACTGAGCATCTTTTTATATAGTGTAGAGCCATTTGTACTTTCTGTGAAATGTCTACTCCTGTTCTTTAATTTTTCTTTTAAGAAATCGGTATTTTTCTCTGCGACTTGTGACAATTCTTTATCCAGGAGATTAACCCTTTTTCTGCCACGTTTATTGGAAATCTGTCTCTACCTGTTTACCGTTAAATTCTTTCATTTGTTTATGATATTTGTGGCAAACAGAAAGTTACTATTTTATGTAGTCAAATTTAATGTTTCCTTTTATGGCCTTCTCTGAGATCATTTTCAAAACCTGAGTTTTTCTAGTATTTTATGTCTTCACTTATTTTGCATTTCATTAGGTGATCTATTTGGCATTTATTTTGGAGTAGGCAGGAGAGAGAGGTTCAGTTTTTTCCAGTTGGCTGGTGAGCTTCCCAGAATTGCAGTTCTTTCTCAATCCAAACCCACAGCAACATTTTCAAAACTGTAAAAACTGCCTTATCTGATCTAGCCAGATTAACTGCCTCCCTGGTCATTAAGGCCAGACAATTGGTTTCAAAGCCACTGCACAGGAAATTTAATCTGTGGGTGTCAGGTGTGTAATCCAAGCACACCTAGCAGCCGTGCCTGACCCCCTCCTTCTGGAATTGGGAGGGGAGAGCAGGGTTCCTGGGGTGCCTGCAGATAGTCAGGGTAGCAAGTCCAAAACCTGATCGTGAACCGCAGGCTAGAGTGGAGCTGAAGACACAGAGCCCAGGACAGGAAGGGGGAGCCAGGAAAGCAGAGAAACAGTCCTGGCCGACCACTGCGCGGAGTCGGAGATTCCAGGACGCCGGAGGCCTGCGTGCCTGGGGGGGGGGGGGGGGGGGGGGGCGCCGGCCTTTCAGAAGCGACAAGGTCAAGGCCAGGGGAGACTTTGCTTTTCTGTCCTGTGTGAGCAGCCCCAGAGCAGTGCTCAGTCTGATGGTGGGATGTGGACTCAGCTGTCACCTGCACAGGAGGTGGGACCAGGAAACCTGATGGCCAGGAGAAGGTAGCCCACGCTGGGGACATGTGAACTGAAATAAGCTTTCTGAAAGAATTCGAGTAAATGCTGGGACAGTGTTATTAGTTTATCAATAAAGATATTTACATCGACTAAATCATGCCTCAGTGTAATGATCAATAAATTGCTAAGTTAATTCATTCCATCTTCACAAACTTCTGTTGACCGAGGGCCTGGTGCGGTGCTGAGTTCCAGGGGATAAAGGAGGAAGGGGCAGCTTCCTGCCCTCCAGGTGCTTCTCCCGTGGGGAGCAGGTGGGTCAGCGGCACAGGCCGCATGGCGCTGAGAGGCTCTGAGAGAGTCACGCCCGTGTCCTGTGAAAGGCCAGCAAAGACTCAGAGTCACGCAGCTCTTCACAGAGGCTGCTAGAGCAGGTGGTCCGCCCGCGTGTCCTGTCTAGCGTCCTTACTCTCCTTGCAGAGGTTAAGCTCAAGTTTCAGAATTACAAGTAAAGCTACCCTGCTTCTTATCTGCGCGGCCTCTTTCTGCCCAGGATCTGAGATCTAGGGCCAGAGAGATTCTTAATCTGAGGGACAGGACAGGGTTCCAGAGGGTCCGGGAACCCCTTAAAACTGTACACAAATGACATGCGCGTGCCTTTTTCCTGGGGGTGGGGTCATAGATTTCATTAGAATCTCAAAGGAGTCTGGGAACCTGGAAAGCTTAAGAACCCAACTTAGATTTCCCTCAACCTAATTAAGGCTCTTTTATCTTAAGAACAGCTTTTAAGACATCCTAAGCAGACTGCAACCTAGAGATATGTGTGGTTACTAACACCTGGTTCCTTTAAACCTCCTTTCTCCTCCCAGCCCCACAGGTCCCTCTTCCTGCCCTCGCTAGTCTTTACTCGACTCCCCGGTACTAATCACCACAACACAGGCCGCCGTGTGCGCAACCGTGATCTTGTGATCTTGTCAGATGGAATCGGTTCACATTTCCATGGCAGTCTCTCCTGTTTTGCTTTAGGTTTTTGGTTCAGAATGCTCAAATCCAAAAAGCCATTCAACACACAGTCTGCAAACACTTTCTTTATGCAGGACGCTGTGCTCCCAGTCGAGGGAGACAGGCAGGGAGCGGGACACGCAGACAAAGTCAACCCCGTTCCCATCTTCGGGAGATGAGACAGCTTGGAAAATGCTCCACACGCCGCGGGGACTTAGAGAGGAAGTGATTATTTCTCACCCTAGGGTGCAGGACAAAATGTCATGAAGATGGCCTCGCTGGGCAGTGTTTCTTATCACTTGTACCCTTGGTAACATTACCCTCTGTTTCTGCACCTTCAAAACGAGCTGCTGGGCCTGGAGGCTGACACATGATCAGAGACACCCAGGACGCAAGGCTGGGAGGAAAACAAGCCTTTGTCATAGAATGACAACAGCAAGGAAGGGTAGGGGCACAAAGTATAGAAAACGTTGTAGGAGAACATGCAACTGGAACTACATTGGAAATGTAACATTGTTATTCGAATTGATGTTAAGAACTTTTGAAAACTGATATTAAGAGAAAATCTTGATCATCATTACTATCAAGATTATAATATTAAAAGTCTGGCTTTAAAGCAAGCCAAGGCAATGTCTGTATTTTCCTAAACCTCGAAAATAGAAACACTGATTTGCTAGAAGTGTCTACAGGCTGTGAGGGCTTTTCTAAAACGTCGATTGAGGAACGTGCGTATGCACATTTTCTTCTTACTAGGTCACATATAATCAAGCATTTACTACTGGTGTGAGTCATAGCTGAAAATCGCGTGGTGCTTTCAGATCAGTGCTTACAAAGCAGTCCCGCCTCCGTTCCACATCCTGTGCAGTTCATTGGCCTTGCTGATGCATTTTCTTCCTCTTTGTTCTTAGGACAGACCAGCACCTGCCAAATTTTTGAGACAGCTCGCGGCTTAGAGGGAGGCTCATCTAAATAAAGGCCGGCTAAAGTGACATCGCAGGGATTTAATCCTTCTCCGGCTGCCGTGGGAGCATCAGGCTGACTTGCCGGTTTCTGCTTTCCTGGGTCCAGATGAGTAGGTCCCGGCGGCCCTGCCACTAGTGCCACCAAGGAAGGTCAGAGCCGATTGCCCGCCGCAGCGGGGGCCCGGGGCCTGCAGAGTGGACCAGCCGCTGACCATCAGAGGAAATAGCAACCTGGAGCCTCTGTCCTGGGACCCGGCCGCCTACCACAGAGCATCGGAGCACGCGGCCGGCCAGGAGGACCCTGCAGCCTGTCACGGAAGTGCCTATGGTGGCTGGCTGTGGGCCAATTGCACAGTGAGAGCCGGAACGTCCACCTTCAGGGAAGGTGTGAAATGTCTCGGGGAGGCAGGCCGCGGTGGGCGGGGCCGGGTGAGCTCCGCCGGCTCCGCTGACGGCCTCGGGCCGGCCCTGGGCTCTCCGGGCGGACGCGCGGCTCTGGCAGTCCCTACCTCCCATCTCCCGCCCGCCTGGCCTCTTCCGCTCCTCCCCACCCTGCCCTTGATCGGCGCCTCTGTGCTGAGATGGAGACGTGAGCCAGCAGTGACGGTGACGATGACAGCAGTGTACGTGAATGGAGGCGGCCTGGGGACCCCCCACTATGCCAGGTGGGATCGACGGGACAGCGTGGAAAGTGGCGGTCAGACAGAGTGCAACCAGGAGGAAGAGGAGGCGGGGCAGGCGCGCCAGCTGACCCCCTTTGAGAAGCTGACCCAGGACATGTCCCAAGATGAGAAGGTGGTGAGAGAGATCACGCTGGGGAAGCGGGTCGGCTTCTACCGAATCCGGGGCGAAATCGGCAGCGGCAACTTTTCCCAAGTCAAGCTTGGGATTCACTCCCTAACCAAAGGTAGGACCTGACCGCCCAAAGATGACCGGACCCCCCTCCCCTGCTGTGCGATCGGGACCCAGTGCAGGGTGGGTTGGGGTCCAGGACAAGGAAGCAAGTGAAGCGTTGTCACATAGGCCCTGTCCTGCCCTTGGCTATTTCAGTTAATCTTCACAGTAATGGGGTGAGGGTGCTGTTTTTATTTCCACTTTGCAGATAGGGAAACTATGATCCAAAGAAGTTAAGCGTGGCTTCGGCAGTTCAACCCTGGATCGTTCCGACTCCAAAAGCTCTCCCCCTGCACCATGTGGATGAACTCAGACACTGAGGGGCCTCTGTCTTGGAGAAGTGGACTGTGGCTTGGTTCCAAGGCAACTCATAGTCCAAGTCCTTGTTTATACTGCCTGTTTGGGTTTGTGTGTCAACACCAATGGCCCAGAATGGCCCAGGAGACCTCCCAGATCGCGCCGGTCAGTGGACAGCAGGTTCTAGTCTCCCCTCCTTACCCGAGGCTGCTGCTTCTGTTACATTTGGGGGAAAAGAGTTTGATCTCAGGACCTCCTGTGCGTCGGCCTCCCCTGCAGAGTTCTCGCTGTTGCTAGGTTCCTTGCTGCCTGTCGAAGCCCACACTGCTGGACGCCCGCCCCTCTGGGCTCTAGAGCGGCGACGCCCAGCATGCTGGCCGTGGGGAGGAGCTCTGCCGAGGGCCCAGCAGTGCGGGCACGTCCCCGGGTTACCTCTCACTGAGCTGAAGCCTGGACATTATCAAAGAGTTAAAAAAAAAAACCCCAAAAGGAACGCTTGCAACTCAGTACAGTTCTACGGACTTCCAAAGCCCATGGGCTCTGCCCGCTCCCTGGGAGCCCTGTTCTGACATGTTCTCTCCTAGGACCCGCCTGCCACGGTGCCTCCACGGCCTCTCTTTTCTTATACACATTGTCTTTCACTCATGTTTCTTTTCCAGCCCCGAGTCTCACGTTTCTCCCACCCCTGTGTTTGACCCCTATAGGAAAAATACCATAGCCCCTTACACCCATGTACACACACATGCGTTTACACACACACTCTCACGTCACTGGAGCTCCAGTTCCCCTTCCACGCAGCTCTGAGCCCACGTGCGTGGGTCCATGTCTTCATGTCTCGGCTGCTCACCTGCCTTAGCTGGGTGCATTACAGCCCTCCCGTGGGCCTCAGGTCCCTCACTTGTAAAATGCAGCCAATGACAGCGCTTACTCTGCTCAGAAAAGGGGATCTCGCACTGTAGCTCCTATCCTATCAGGGACAGGCGTCGCTTTTCAATGGTCTAGAACAACAATGAGAGAAAAAAGGTTGAACGTGGCGGGCGGGGGGGGGGGGGAACAGAGAGGGGCCAGAGAGTGAGACAGGAGACATGGTTAGGAAGCAGTGAGACGCTGGGTAAAGGCGAACCAGGAGAGGACTCTGGGAGGGGACGGTGTCCAGGATGGCGGAGAGGTCACCGAGGCAGCAGTCCGAGCAAGGCCTGCGGGACCGGGCCAGCTCCAAGCGTGGGTTCAGGTGGTAGAATCCAGGGCACAGACAGTGGGGACAGGGGGACGGTGGGAAGGACATGGGCTCGAGAATCAGACAAATTCGTGGCAAATCCTCGTTTGGTCACTTCGTAGACATCAGACTTTGTGCGTGTTCCTTAGGCTCTTTGGCCCTCGGTTGCCTCAGCTGTCAGGTGGAGATAATTCCTCCAAGTGTGGGAACATCAGAAATAACATATATGAAGTCCATGGCATGTGCTAGCCACTCAGTAGCTAGTAGCTCGCATTGGTGCAACTCTGCTTTTTACTTAACCTTATTTCAAAAGGAAGTTTAATGTTATGAAAACCCAAAATCACTTGCACTCTGAATAGAAGCTAATGGCAAAAATAAATACAATGCAAACACATTTAAACATTTTATTTATTTGTTTATTTATTTTCCCAGCTTTATTAAGATACAAGTGACATAGAACACCGTGTACATTCAGGGTGTACAACACAGTGATTTTATGTATGTATCTATTGTAAAACGATGACAGGAAGGTTAGCACGTCTATTCCCCTCGCACAGTTACAATATTTTTTACGTGTGGTGAGCTATTTTAAAATCTACTCTCTTAGCAACTTTCAAAAAGTTTTAAAGAAAAATGACCAAGTAATAGAAAGCAATTTAGGACAGGTCAACAACCAACCTGAGGCTTCCTCTTCGCCTCGATCGGAGAACCGCAGAGAGCCGACGTGTTGGCGGCCGCGAGCAGCACTATTTAAGGCCGCTCCCATGCACTAAAGTCATTTTGCGCCCCGAGTGTTAAAGGTTCCGCTTTGGGAAACGCTGACCTCATCCAGTCCTCCTGCATTTTATGGAGGGGCAAACAGGGGCCCAGAGGTGGCTGTCCTGGGGCACCACAGAGACGGGTCTAGAACTCAGCTTTTCTTTTCACCCTCTCACCCCGCCAAGCGAGCTCCAGCGCCGGTGCGCTGGGGAGGGGCACCTCTCATGCAGCGGCCCGGACGGCTGGCCCCACGGACCGCTGCCCTCCCCGGCACCAGACCCAGCCAGGCCCCCGCGCTCAGGGACCGTCCCTCTCCCGGTGGCAACACTCCAGAGAGGGGGCCTGCCCCCGAAGTGCCTGCAGAAGAGCCGAGGGAACAGGGGACAGTTAGGGAGAAACAGAGCGCACGGCCAGGACTCAGAGGAAGGCCGCTTCCCGCTTGCCCTTCTCTTGCCCAGACACAGTCTGAGGGAGACCTGCCACCATGTCTTTCAGTGGCAGAAGGTCATGCAATATTGTGGAAAGAGATTGGCTCTGAAGTCAGCCAGACCTGGGTGGAATTCCAGCTCTTTTTTCTCTAGCTGTGGGGCCTGAACAAGTTATTTTGCCATTCTGGCCCTCAGTGTCCTCGCGTACAAATGAGGGAAATATATCAGCTGCACAGGATTGTTAGGAGGGGGACTATTTTTAAATATAATATATTGACTCCCTGCCATGTGCCGGGACAGGGCCCACAGTAAGTGTTCATGGGAAGCTGTTATCGGTTTGCTTCGGCTGAAATCCTGCATCATTCCGTTCCCAGAGCGGAAGCCTAGTCAACCAGCTCACAGGGCAAGCGTGCCTCGTGTCCAGTGGACCCGCAGCAGGGCCGGGGGCCGGGTTTCAGCACGCGACTGTCTTTGCCCCTTCTCCTTCTCGGGGCCACACGGCTTCTCATCCCCACTTCCCTTGACGAACGTGTGCCGTCGTCCTTTCCTCTGCAGGGTGTCCTCTGCTCGCTTGTCAGGAGGCACGTGGCCAAAGCTGGCTGTGTTGGGTCCCGCAGCTGCATAGCCTCTGTGCTTTCTTGTCCATCTCCAGCGGCTGCTTGTTTCGTTCTATCTCAGCTCAGATGTGAAAGAAAGAGAATACAGGGGAGGGCACAAGAAGGTCTACAGGCGTGAGTATGTGAAACGCAGAGTTTATTCTTATTATTTATTTATTAATTATTGTAGTATTCATTATCAACCTACTCTTGCCTGCCCTTGTACGATTTCTCACTGGCCAGCTGATGACGGGCCACCCTTGAGTCAGGGCACGCCTGTGGCAAGTCAGCGGTCGCCCTTAGGGTCATCGGTCCTGTGACTCTCCCAGCAGAGCCCTCAGTCCAAACATGTGTCTTTGGGAAGGCGAGTAGAGAGCACAGCGAAGTGACTGGGACATATGCACTGTAGAGACAGGAGCCAGGTGAGCAAGCAATCTCCACAAGACAGCATCCAGTTCTGTAGGCAAGCTATGCGGTGGGGTGCGCAGAGACAGAGAAGCAACAACTATGGATATGTCTATAATGACTTCCTTCCTGAATTCTGAGGGTTTCTGTTGTATTACGAAATTAAGTCAATTCTAGTCCCTTGATGTTCAGAGAACGTGGCATTTTCCTGCTGTGCACTTGGGCACTTTGGTGGCTTCATTGACGTGAGATCCTCACTGCTAACCTGCCCTATTGTCAAGGGTTCAAGCCACCTTCTGTTTACCGGGTCCATGTGCTGAAGGGGAGGAAGGTCAAAGCAAGCCAGAAAATGTGCCGGCAGGTAACTGACCACATTAGACTAACGCAACAGAAAGAAGAAATCCCTGACCTCAGCCCATGACCGTAGGCCCTCCCATTAGGGCCTAAGCCTGACCTCGTGCCTCATCTCTCTTCTGGGGTTCTACCCTCCCGTAAGCCCCCGAGTGGAGGAAAGAGTAGGAAAATGAGAACAATGGGCCCCGAAAAGGGCCACAGTGGGGGACACCCAGTGCAAATCCATGTGAGGCAACACAGACAGCGAGGGCGTGCCGGTACCGGGAACCGAATCTCGGGGCAGTACGACAGAGTCAGGACGAAAAGACTGGCTTGTAAATAGAAAGGGGACATGTGGCTACTCTGAGCAGATGGGCATAGCAAGAAAGGGGAAATATTTCTCTGAGATCTTTACCTTTAAAAGAGGAAGCAGATCCATTCGCGAGTGGCTTAGGAGGCCTCCTTGGGCCTTCAAACACCCTGACCCATGGCCAGGCCATGTCAGATTACGTAATGTGGGAAGCGATTTCTATCAGTGTGGTCCCCATCCAAAGCCACCCTGACCAGGACTGTCATGAGGCTTTCCAGGAAACACAGGCAGCCTGGATAAGAGAAGGGAACAGTGTCCCAGGAAAGCGAGGGTTTTGGCGCTGGGGCAGCTTCCAGCACAGCAGTTCTACAAAGGGGCCAGCTTGCCCTGATCTCTAGAAAAAAGACTCCGATGCAGGCCCCCGCTGGCTGGAGTTTATTTTTATAACTAACAGCTCAAATTCCCTCGGGCCTTGCAAGATGATAGGGCAGGCTGAAGCCAACATGATTAGAAATTAGGCTGATTAGAAATTTCTCAAAAGCGATGAGGCACTCGGCTTCTGCATATTTTATGTCCCATCTGTTGTCACAAACAAAAGTAAAAGAGGCAGCACGTCTGTCCCTTTCTCTGTTGCTGCCCTCCCTGACCTCTTCTTCCCTGGTCTTCCTCTCTGTTACTCTAGTTTCTTGTTTCTGGAACCCTTTCTTTTCACCTCTCAACTTATTTATTCATCAGTTCATTTATTTCTCTCTTTAAAGAATATAATAAACTCTCCCGTGCCCATAGTGTGCCCTGGGCCCTTGCCAAGATGAACGTGATACAGTTCTAGCTTGATAAGGACTCACACTACTCAATGGAGACAGACAGGAAACAATTGATAAGCGTTGTCACCCAGTAAGTTACAAAGGGTGGGCTCACCTGGGCCAAGGGTGTCAGGAACGGGTCAGTTGACTGGGAAGGGCTGTGTTGGGTCTTGAGGTTTGAGGAGAAATCATACAAGACTCGGGGCAAAGGGAGTTCTAGGCAGGGAGAAGATGGGAAGTGCGTGGAGGGGTGAACCGTCTGGGGAGTATTTGGAGATCGGAACGTAGATCGCGAGGCTGGAGCCGGGATGCACCCGCAGAGGAGCGGGAGGTACAGTGGGCGCTGTAGGCAGGGGCTGACCGTGGAGAGTCTTCTTGCATATTTGGATTTCATCCTTTGGTATCGGGGACCCATTGAAGAGCTTAAAGCAAGCAATTAACACAAGTGACTAAGAGCATTTGATCTCAATGAGGAAGGTGAACTTGAAGTTGGGGTGTGACAGGAGTCAGGGACATCAGAATAATATGCTAGGCTAATGGTTCAGATGAATGTGACGTCCATTTCGACTCAGGGGGTGGCTGTGAGGATGGAGAGAAGGGGGTGCATTTGAGAATATGTTAGGATATTGGAAACCCTTGTGGTCAGTTGGATGGGGGAGGAGAGAGGAAGACAAGGGAGAGGAGGAATTGGGGCTGACTCCCAGTTTCCAGCCTCAATGACAAGCAGTCCGTAGTGAACACAGGGGAACAAATGGGTGTGAGGGTGAAGGTGCGGAGGCACTGACCTGGAAGTACATGGAAGTCAGGGGCTAATGAGTCCAAAGTCCTCTTCGAGCCCAAGAGAAAAATGTACAAATAAAAAATCAAGATTTGGAGCCTAACAAATCCAGGGCATGGTAAAAGTCTTGGGTGTCCTGGTCACAAGTTCGTAGGTGCCAGACCTGGTATCATATTGATCCTTGGACTTTACCCACAAGCCTTATAAATAAGAAACAGTGAAAAAATGTTTGGTGAATTAAGTTAGCGTACTAACTTCTCACGAACAGTAAGCAGGGGTGGGAGGCCCTCCGTGCTTAACCTCCCAGGCTGCCCCGACTGGGGAACTGAATCCGTCTCTACAAAAGCTTAACAGAGAAGACCCACTGATTCTAAAAAAGTGATCTCTCTTCTTGAAAACTTGTTTAAAAACAGCAATGAAAAGTCATGTCTTCTTATTTTAAAAAGTGACTTTTGTGAATCCATCCTAAAAGTAAGTCCAGTATTAGAAATATGACAACCAAAAAAATGTTCATTACAGCATTATTTGTAGTACAATAACTTGTATGGCCCGACGATATAGAAATGGTCCCGTAAATGAAAGTGTGCATACCGGGTGTAAGGTTACACAGCCGTTAAAAATCATGACAATGCAGAGTGCGTGGCCACATGGAAGAGACGCGAGGCCCCACAGTAAACGAAGAAGCAAGACACAAAATCGAGTGTGCACCGTGGTGCTCCTGAGGTCCTCCCAGGGTCCTTGTGAGGGCTAAATGAGATCGTTTGCTGAGTGTCTACTGTGTAACAGGCCCGCCTCTGGGGACCCGGCAGTGAACAAAACAGACAATTGCTGGCGAATGCAGCGTCTATCCTGGTGGGGAAGTCAGCCAGCCAGTGACGCGTTAGGTTAGGTAGGGGTAGTGACCGGCAGGAAAGCAGGGCGGGGAGCGGCCAGGCGCACAGGGCTGCGTCCTGGGTAGGCCGACCCGGCAGCCTGACCGAGGAGGGGATAACGGAGCAGAAGGACTAAGGGACCTGGCCGCAGGCGCACACGAGGGAGAGTGGTCTGCAGAGGGAGCGGCAAGCTAAGGGCGCGGCCTGGGAGCGTGCCCGCCATACCGCGGGGTGAGCGCAACGAGGAGCGGGCACCGGGTCCGGCAGGCCAGCGTGTCACAGCAAGGACAGGGCTTTACCTACACCTGAAACCAGAGCCCTCAGAGGGAGTGAGGAAGCGACGCGATCTGCCTTGTGCCTTAACAGGATCGCCTTGACTGTTCGGTTGAAAACAGCCTGCCGGGGTCAAAGGCAGAAAAGGAGAGATCACTAAGGATGTGGCAATAACCCAGGCACAGGCTGAGGGTGCCGTCAGCCAGCACAGTGGCCGTGGGCTGCCGAGGCGAGGCTGGATGGCGGCTCGGTTTAGAAGGCAGACGTATCGGGATTTGCCGATGGACTGAAAATGGAGTATGAAGAAGAATCAAATGCTCAAGGCTTTTGTCTGCACTGTGGCAAAAATAGCACTTCCATTTACTGAAGCTGGGATGAGTGTAGGCGGAGCAGGTTTGGGGTTGGGGGTCATCGTGTGCTCGTATTGACCATGTATGTTGGACATGCTTATTACACACCTATCACACACACGTGGCAGCTGTGGTCAGTGCCTCACTGTCTCCTTGGGCCTTACCATTTCCATGCATGCAGGTCCGACCTGCAAACGCCAGTCTCTCTCTCTGTTGGCCTCTGGGCTTTCTCCTCCTACCTGTATGAGAGGCCACAGGTACAGGGCAAGTGACATCCCTCAGGAGCGGCCAGTGACCAGTGGCCGGTGTAGTGGATGGAGAAGTACCCCAGCTCTCTCGCTCTTCTCGCGATAAAACTTAGGCATCCTAAGTCTCAGCAGGACTCCCTGGTAACCTAGTAACACACCCTTTATTGGCCGCCTTTCCTTTCTATCTCACTTCCTCATCCTTCTACCAGTGTTTCTTGGGGTCTCCTCCCTCACTCCACTTGCACTTGACTCTCTGCCTCAGGATCTGCTTCTGGCAGAACCTGAACTAGGACAAACGACCACGCGGAGGGGTCGTGTAGGCAGGTGAATGCGTGGATGCATCTGGAGTCATGGAGGAAATACTTGTAGAGAAGAGGGAGGTGAGTGGTCCGGATCTTGAGCCGCCATAATGTGGGGAGCAGTGGTCAGCGGGGAGAGGCCACGCTTTATCAGAAGCCTGGGCCAGAGCAGGGGGAGGGTCCAGGTCAAACAGAAGCTTCTTCTCTGGGAAATCTGCCCATAGAAGAACCGTGCACCCAGCAGGCTCCACAAAACCAGGAGTCCCTGTGTCAGGTGACGGTGGTGGGGGTCCCTCACTGGGGCCGGGGGCCTGCCCAGGTCACAGACGGAGGGTCTGCCTAGTTACGGCTGCCTCCTCCCCTCAGCGTCCCCCCCCCAGGCCCCGCGGAACCCTGCCTCTTTCCATTCTGGAAGTCCTACTTTAATCAGCAATAACACTATTTTAAACTGGCAGTGTTTATTTTCATGCAGGTAAACACTGTGCCAAAGTTCTTCGAAAAAGTTATTTTGCAAACAGGTCCAAGAGGCATGGTGCAATTTTGTTCTCCCTGGTTACTTGCCTGGAAAATCTTTCCGGTCTAATAGAAAGTCAGGTCCACTTTGAACCAAAAAAACAAATGAAGGTTTACCTTGGAGTAGAGATGCAGTCATTTTCAAACATCATCCATTTTTATTACACACTTAATCTATATTAACTGTATATCTAGATTGCATAATTAACATATGGAAATTAGAAAATATAAATGAGCAAGAACAATTTAAAGGAAAACCATTCATGATCCTATTAATAAAATAATTATTCTAAACATTTTGATGAATATCTCACTAGCATTTTTTTTGTGCAACTGTGTATTTGTATTTTTCCTCCCTTGTTCCATATTGAATGTCTTCTCCTGTAACTATTTTGATAGCTGCACGGTGTACCACTGTGCAGCTAACTAAGCCACATGCTGTGTTAACCACCTCTCTTGCTGGATGCTTAAGCTATTCTGAATATCCCGGGAGTCTTCTCATGCACACATGCAACCTTGTGCCGATGTCAGATTATTTCTTTAAGATTAAATGCCCACACTGGAATGGCTGGGTCAAAGTGTGCGACCATTTTTAAGGCTCTCAATACATGAGCACCAAGTTATCATGAATTGGTATGATAGTCCAGGAATTGTACCGATGAATCCTTCCCCACACACTGCGTACCGGCGGGTGGGTCCAGGCACTGAGGAAGGGCAGAGCCCACACGGGGCGGGGTAGGCGGAGACCAGCAAGGAGTCAGTGTGTATAGGCCAGAGAGCTGAGATCGTAGTTCAGAGAAACGCAGACTCCGAGCATCATGACCCGCATAAGACAGGTGCCACAGAAGGCTTCCTGGAAGGGGCTGTTTCTGAGGCTCGCCTTGCGGGACCACCAGGGGTCAGCTGAGTAAACAACAGGAGAGGGGTCCTGAACCAGATCAGTGAAATGATTCAGGTGGAAGAAAGGTTCCAGGCATAAAAATCCTAGTCCCTTTTCAAGGAACCACGAAAGGTTCTGTGGCAGTTGGCCCAGCGCTGCGCACGGGGACGTAGGATGGCAGTCAGGAGTGATGGATGTTGAGGCTGAAGGCATGAGCGGGGTTTTCTCTGCTACACAAAGGAGCTTGAACTGCACCCAGAAAACTGGGTAGAGATCATCAAACTAAAACCTCCTTGGGAGCCAGGCATTGGCATCAAAACACACTGATGATCAAGGATGCGCTCTGTTAGCTTGGAAACACCTATTTCACCTCTGTGTCTCATAAAACAAAGGGGCCGATGTAGTTCCCTTTTGGCTCTGAATTTTTGTAAGCCTATCAACTCTGGCTTTGATGCTTTCTTTTTTCCAGAAAAGGTGGCCATTAAGATCCTGGACAAGACCAAGTTAGACCAGAAAACCCAGCGGCTCTTGTCCCGTGAGATCTCCAGCATGGAAAAGCTGCACCACCCCAACATCATCCGCCTTTATGAAGTGGTGGAGACGCTCTCCAAGCTCCACTTGGTGATGGAGTATGCAGGGGGTGGGGAGCTCTTTGGGAAAATCAGCACCGAAGGGAAGCTCTCCGAACCGGAAAGCAAGCTCATCTTCTCCCAGATTGTGTCTGCCGTGAAGCACATGGTGAGTGGGGCGTGGAAGGGGAGTCCTGCTCCATTCTACCCACAGCGGGAATGTGGGGCCTCAGGTTACCAGCATCCCAGCGTCCCAGAGGGCTTTAGACCCACAGGGCAGACAGCAGTCCCTCCTGTGAGGGTCGGGAGCCTGACTGCGCCCATGCTCATTCCTCTAAAGCAACACCCAGGAATCTCTGGTCACAGGGCAGCACCCTGGCTTCTGGATGTTAGCAGGAGTCACTCTGAGCAGCCCGATGACAGTCACTCCCCTGCCGGTCACATCCATCCCTTCAGCTCCACCTTCCACCACCTAGAGGGCTAGCTCCTCGCTGCTTCCTGGCCTTGCCCTCTGGCCCCGTGTCGAGGGCGCCCTCTGCCCCGTTACCACACCTCACACTCCAAACCCTGTCCACTTCCTGGCCCAGCTCCAGCCTGTCTCTCTGAGACTCTCCTCGGTCTCATGTTGGCTCACACGCCCGTCTTCCTTGACTTCAGAGAACGCCTCCAGCTCTTGCTGCCTCTGCTCAGGCTTGATCGTGGCATTCTTAGTTCAGTTCTCTGATTATTCCTTCAGCTAAGTCTGGACTCCTAAAGCACACGCCCTAGACCGTTCAGGAGCTGGTGCCTCTGTGCCCTGTCTACCGTTGGCCGTGTTTCCGGGCACCCCAGAGCACTGGACGGCAGGCCCCACACACTTCGATGACTCATTTAGGGCAGAAGCTTGAGCTGCCCTCTTTTCCAGATCTCAGTCGGTCCAATGGGCAGAGAACAGGTCCTTGTCTGGGGCCTGTGTTAGTTGAGACACTCTTTCTACCTTATTTTTCTGCCTGGATGTTGGAGGTCAAGGCCTAGGATCAGTGACCTTCTGGCCAAATTATTGGCAGGGGAATCAGTGATCTGCAGGCCCAAGGTAACAGATGGGAGGGAGGGAGGGGGAGGAAGGAGAGGCGAGCCAGAGAGCAGAGCCCTGTCCTGACGGCGGGGGGTGTTTCAGTCCTGGAGGTGGCCACTTCAGTGGCCTTTACTGTGGGGAACCTGCCCAGGGCCTGGGAGCAGGCCAGGCCGGCCTCTCGCACCAGAACAGCTGGGTGCAGACTGAGTCCTCCGAGCTCCGAGCCCTGACATTTCTCCCAGCTGTCTCATCCCAGAAAAGAGGAAGGATGAACCAAAGACATAGTTCCAAACTTCACTGGGCGCGTGTGCTCCATGCTGGCACCATGCTGAACACGACAGACACAGCATCATGCGCAGTTCTCTCGAGGCCCTTACGAGGTGCCTTGCCCACGTCCCATTTGACAAGGAAGAGAACTGACGCAGCTGGGATCATTGAACCCCAACTTAGTTAACCGAGCTGTCCCGGCTCCAAAGCCTGGATTCTTAGCCCAGGAGGCACGTCAGCAAGAGGACCAAGAGAGAACCATGTCCTAAGAGCCCTGGGGCCTGAACAGGTCCAGGTTGTCAGGAGTTAAAACACAAGGGTCGGGGCCACGAGGTGGGGCATGGCTCACAGTGGGCAGTGGCACAGGCGGCCGGAACCTGCCGCAGCAGCCTCGTCCCTTCTCCGGAATCCTGGAAAGACAAAGGAGCACACCCGCGGGAGCATGGCTGGGGGGCTGGGAGGCTGGGAGGCTGGGGAGGGCCCCAGGCTTTCCTGGACTTGACCCTAGTCAGGAGATAGCTCGCCCGAAAAGCCCCCCTCCAGCCTCGCACGCGCGGGATTACTGTCCCATCGTGTCGACAGGGAGTTGGTAAGATCTGGGTCTTATTTCTGGCACTAGCTCGCGAGGTGACACGCAGGGACAGGCTCCAGCCCTCACCCCCCAGGAAGAGAAAACTGTCCATCCCTTTGTGGCCTGCGGGTGGCTAAACGTGCCGTGTGTGGCTGGAAGTTTCGGCGGGGCAGCCCTCAGGGCCTGTGGGCACGATTAGCCTCCCTCGAATGTCTGCTTTGATGGCATCTCACTGTTCCCGAGGAACTGCTGCCTTTTTTTTATGTTGGTATATTACTTTGGAAATGATCCTTTCGCCCTCTGTCTTCTCCCACAGCACGAAAACCAAATTATCCACAGAGACCTGAAAGCAGAGAACGTATTCTACACCAGTACCACCTGCGTGAAGGTGGGTGATTTCGGCTTCAGCACAGTGAGCAAAAAAGGGGAGATGCTGAACACCTTCTGCGGGTCGCCGCCCTATGCGGCGCCCGAGCTCTTCCGCGACGAGCACTACGTGGGCGTGTCTGTGGACATCTGGGCCTTGGGGGTGCTCCTGTACTTCATGGTCACGGGCACCATGCCCTTCCGGGCGGAGACTGTGGCCAAACTGAAGAGGAGCATCCTGGAGGGCGCGTACAGCACGCCCGCACACGTGTCGGAGCCCTGCCTCCGGCTCATCCAGGGCGTCCTGCGGCCCGGACCCGCCGAGCGCCTGGGGATCGACTCTATCATGAGCCACGAGTGGCTGCAAGGGGTGCCGTACCCCACGCCTCTGGAGCCTTTCCGGCTGGACCCCAGACATTTGTCGGAAACCAGCGCCCTCCGAGAAGAAGAGCACGAGGTCAAGAGCACGTTGGAGCATTTGGGTATCACGGAGGAACATATTCGAAACAACCAAGGACGAGACGCACGGAGCTCCGTCACCGGCGTGTACCGCATCATTTTGCATCGGGTCCAGAGGAAGAAGGCTCTGGAAAGTGTCCCTGTCATGACGCTACCAGGCCCTCAAGACAGGGACTTAAAGAAAGGGTCCCGTGTCTACAGGGGCATACGACACACGTCCAAATTTTGTTCAATTTTATAAATTGCGTTAGACTGTTGGTAATTAACCAAGATCATTGTTGCTGCTTTTAAATTTTTTCATGGACAACCTGGTGGGGACTTTTTTTGTAATTTTTAAATAAATTTAAATTTAAGGTATGCGGGGGTTTTTTTTTTTCCACAAAATGAATGTATTAGATCAGATTCTGGCTTGGTTTACAATCTTTGCCTGTTCTCAAACTCTAGCATTTGTTCATTTAATTGAGAAGTACTTATTTGGTGCCTGCTCTATGCCAGACACTGTTTAACGTGCTGGGAGATATAGCAAAAAAAAAAAAAAAAAAAAAAGAAGAAGAAGAAGAAGAAGAAGTACACCAGGTTCTTCCCGTTTTATGCAGGATATTCCAGTGCTGGACCAAAGCGCTTACGAAAGGATTTTTTTTTTTTAAGAGAACTGTCGTAGTGATAGAGTATTCAAATAGGGCGGTTGATAGGAGAGGCTTGCTCCTTTGGATTCGATCATTGGCAAAGGCCGCTTTGAGTGGACAATTGGATCTGAATGGGAGAAGCAGGAGTAACTTGAAAAGCAGACCAAGCGCACTCCAGGCAGCCAGAGGCCTTAGACAGGGCCCCTCCCAAACAGAGGCCCGACTAAGGCTCCCACGCAGAGGCTTTGTCTGAGGAGTAACCTAGGGAGCAGGAGCGAGGGGCTGGGGAGGGAAGGGAGGCCAGCGCAGGGGCCGGAGCTCAGTCTGCAGGCTCCTCTGGGGAGCCTTAGGAAGCCCATCCCGGGCGTGTGCCCGGAGCGCAAAGGGGAAACTGTTGACCCTTCGGCTCCAGAGCGGCCCCACGGTGCCGCCTGCCCTGAGCTCTCAGCTGATGCTGTGTGACAGCCAGGTAGGTTCCCAGTGCCCCGCACGCCCCGGAAAAGAGAAGCCCTGGGAAGTACAAGGTCCTCACCACTGGCCAAGTAGGACCTGCGGGAAGCTGCCTGGATGTGCCCAGGAACGGTCCCTGCATCAGTGGCTGGAGGCAGAAGTGTGGCCCAAAGGGTCTGAGGGCACACAGGAACTGTCCTACCCAGCCCAGCCCCACCCCGGCTCTGCGCACTTTCACCCTTTGCAGAGTCGCCGCCTTGGAGGGGGTGGGCCCGGAAGACTTAGCAGCCCATTAGCAGAGGAAGCCGCAGCAGGGGCGCTCGCCGTGGGGAGCCTGGGAGGCCCCAGCCCCAGGCAGCGTTTCTGCTTCAGTACAGCTTGGGCGGGGCCTGCGCATCTGCATTTCTCCAGTTCTTGGGCGAGGATGGTGCTGCTGTTCAGGGACTGCACTCTGACCACGCGGAGGCCGCAACCTTACGGCAGCTGCCCCCGAGGCTATGATTGGACTCACCCCGCTCTAAATTTCCTGCACATCCTCCAGCATTTCACTGGTCTGGGCTGGGCGGTAGGACCCAGACCTCTGTCATCACAGCTTTTGAGCCTTCAGCCCCCTGCTTGGCTTGTCAGCCCGCGGTTGCCGCCGCCGCCCGCTCACTGTTACCGGGAGGCCCAGAAGTGACACTTGAGTGACTCTCGTGGGTTCTGGACATGCTCTTCTTTAACTCCGTGTAATAATCACGGCCAAGCGTCTAGGCTCTTTTCTTAACCTCCTTGTTAACTGGCACGGAGATCCCAAAGGGACCCTGTGACAGTCATAGATTTCAGTTTGCCGGGCCCTTATTGGGCGCCCTGCTGAAAGCATCCCTCTGCCCCTGGGAACGAAAACCTCTAACCTAGCAGTGCCTAGGTTGCAGGAGAGAGAAGTAGCAATTCTTCACATGGGTCCCGGCTCGTGATGGTGAGAAAAGGCAACCCGACATCTACCCATGGGTTCCAGGCCTGTGCCCGTTAACCAGAGCGTGGTGCGATCTGTCAGCCACTGTTAACCAACGTGTGCTAAGTCCTGGAGGGCGGTGCCTCGACCCTGCAGGGTGCTGTCCTGCAGCCGGGGCCTTCACTGACCCCTCCGTTGTTCTGTTGGTGTTGGCTGCGCCTGGGGCTCGGGCGTGTATTAAAATGAGCAGGTCCTGTGGTCGGGTGCCCATCGCCCACTGCCTTTGCAAAAAAAAGTGGTGCTTGAGGCGACGTTATGTGAGACGCCGCAGCAATGGATCGGACAGTCTCCGCTGTAGCTTGGCTGCGTTGGAGAATAACTGTAGGCAGGAAAGGCAAGCCATGCCCTGAGTAGATTCAAATCCAGTGAGGACACATCGTGCCTGTCGGCATTTATGACTGTGGGTCTGGTGATGTCCAGCTCAGGAGACGGCAGCCCCACTGCTTGGTCCCTAAGTGTCCCAGAATCAGGTGCCCAGTCACACGCCAGGGGTCTGAGTGCTTCTTTGCTGCAGAAAGCATAGCCTCCTGCCAGGACCCTCCAGGGCTGAGCTGCCACCTCCTGGGGCTGCCAGCGCCCCCACGCAGTGTCCTTCACTGCCATGCGCATGGCCGGAGTAGCAGCGCAGTTTCCATCACAGCCTGAGATGGGACCTTTGTGTGTTGGGGAGGCCCACTTGAAACCGGCAGCTCTGATAAATGGGTTTGAGGGAAAAACCAAGGACAACGTACGGGCTTGCAAAACCCAGAGAGGCCCGCCAACCCTGTGCCTGTATCCCAGTGCCCAGGGGTGCGAGGTGCGACGCGGGGCCTCCCCTGCCGAACGGGTGCGCGGGCCTGCCCTGGCCGCCCGCCCTGCAGCGCTCGGTCTGCGCGGCAGGCCCCGATTCCTCACGTGGTCTACCACACCCCCTCCGGCTCTCAAGCCCTTGGTAGGGCCTCTGCAGCACTTGCCGCTTTCTGAGGCTGAGTCTGCCCGACACAGTGGGCAAGCAGGACGTTCTGCAAGGACGTCATCGTAACCAGGGTCCTTTCCAACTATATTAACATAGCGCAGGTTTGTCACCACCTACCTAGAGACGACTGCTGTCTGTCCCGGGGAAGTGTGAACCGCTCTTGATCCTCCATTCCCTCGCATGTCTCAGTTTAGACTTTTATCCAAGACTCCTCACAAATTCTGGGTGAATATGCTGCATGCACTTGTGGCTGCAAAGACCCCCCCGCCCCCCACTGTGCGCCAGATCTGTAAACGGACTTGATCTGGGACCGTGATTTTCTCACGGTGACAGGACACACCAGGCTTCTGCTCACCAGTCTGCCTCTTTTATTTTATTTTTTTTTGGTCATGCAAGTCAAGGCACACTCTAGCCAGCTGTCACGCAGAACCCTGAGATCTGCTAGCCATTGTCACAGACCCCTGCGGGTCGAGACACCCTGATTTCCCCTCCAACCTTCCCCTCCATTATATCACGCCCACCTCACCTCTGACACTTAACAACACATGGCTCCTGCCACCCCCACTTACAAGCACGCCCAGTGCCCTGGCAGATGTCCTACCACCAACCCCTGGGCGGCCGCCACCCAAGTCCCCACAGGTGCTAAGCGTTCCTACGGCCTCAGGGAAGGGACGTCAGGGAAACACAGGCAGCTCTTCAGTCTCACGTAATGAATCTATCCTAACACTCACACCTCCTGGAACTTTCCGTCCCTTTCCTGAAAGCTATGCCACAGCAGTGTCACCGTGCCCACCTCATTCACTGTGAGCCAAACTCGCCTCCAAGTTCCACCGCCATCCCACAGTGTGTGAGGGCCTGCTCCGATGTCCTTCACTCCACATCCCATGTAAATGTTCCCATGATAATAAGCTGTCCTTTTTCCTGCCTTCTATCCTCCCCTCGGCCTCCCCTGCCCCGGGCGCATTTCCCGCGGGAGCCACTCACCCACACTGCCCCTTGGCTCCTGGCAGCACGCACCTGCCAGGGTCTCAGCTACGTGCTCCTCGGCCCAGGTTGTATTTCTCTGCTCGGCCTGTGCTGGGGCCTGACCCAGTTCTCCAGCCGGAGAATAACAAAGGCATTGGCGGAGGATCGCGAGGAGGTGAAGCGTCGTCTTGTGGTCACTTGCCTCCCTGGAGGCCTCGGCGGGGTCTTCAAGCAAGGGAGACGCACAGGACGGGGAGCCCGGCGTGCAACATCTTCAGGCCCGTCCGGCCTCGTGTTGCTGAGACCCCAGCCTCCCAGTCTCTCCCTATCCAGGCCCAGACTTTGATCAAGGAGAGCTGTCGAGACTGAGTCTTTTACCGCCTCCACAGCTCAGCCTCCATTACCGTTAGACCCTGGGCCTCTCTCAGATAGTGTCCTCTGCTGCAGGGACAAGGCTCTCCCTAACCTGCCCCAAAGGCCTGAGGCTTTCACAGCAGGCCTTAAGTTGGTAGTTGGCTGGTAAGCCTCTTAGTCCACCCCCGCCGCTCCCTGCCGAGGCTTCCAAAGCAGTTAATAAAAGCTGGCCAGGCCCTGGTTGGTGTGGCTCAGTGGACTGAGTGCTGGCCTGCGAACCAAAAGGTCACTGCTTTGATTCCCGGTCAGGGCACATGTCTGGGTCCCAGACCAGATCTCCAAGTGGGCGGGTGCGAGAAGCAACTGATCGATGTGTCTCTCGCTCTTCCTTGTTTCTCTCCCCTTCTTCCCCCTCTCTAAAAATACACAAAATCTTTTTAAAAAAGACTTAGGTATATAGTTCTTCCTGAGAGTAGAGAGATCAGTTTGTTAAAAAACAAACAAAACACCAGCTGGCCAAACCCAGCCCTTATCATCACCCTGTGCGGTCCTAGCACCGCAGGCACACACGGTCCGATGCTCCCGGTCCACCCGCACCTGGCGGTGAGCCTTGGCCCTAAGCGTGCTGCTCGGGCGTGCCAGGGGCGGTCGGCGCCCTGCTACCGACAAAGCATGTGTCCTCTCCATGCTGTGATGCTTTCGTGGCATCAAACACAAATTTATCGACTTCGTTTGTTCTGTGAGAGAGTTATTTATCGTGGGCCTCGCTGCACTAAAATCAGGGTGTTAGGCCTGGGTTCCTTCCTGGAGGCTCTGAATACCTATCTCCTGGCTTTTTCCTGCCTCTAGACACATCCCACAATCCTTGGACCATGGTCCCCTTCCCCCAGCCTCAAAGCCAGCCAGCCATGTGCATCTCTGACCATCCTTCCACGGCCACAGCTGACCGCAGCCCAGAAGGGTTCCCTGCTTCTAAGGACCCATGTGATTAGGTTGGCTTGTCCAGACCATCTAGGATAACCTCCCACCTGAAGGTCCTTAACCATACCTGCTCTGGCCATGCAGGGTAACATCCTCAGGTGTTACATTCTTTGGAGACCAGTTTGCTAAAATACAAACGGCTGGCCTTAGCATCACCCTGCGCTGTCCTGGCGCCACGGGCCGCAGGATCCGATGCTCACTGTCCCCCTGCGCCTAGCGGGGGGCCTTGGCTGGTGGTAGGCAGTTCTACGCGGGCTGTAAAGTTGCTTTTAATCTTCAATTGCCAATTCATAATCTTAGGTTGTTTTTAGGAAAACAAAGGAACTCTCTTCATAAAAATTTATAGAAAACTTCACACATTTACCACCCAGTTTGGGACTGACTTTGTCTAAAGTATAGTAGTAAGTTATCAGTATGAATTCCTCCACACTAGACGAACAGTTCTTGCAAGGCAAGAATTACCATGTCTGGTAAATCTTTATTTCTGACTTAATGAATGCCTTGCTGGTATCATGTTTTCAAATGTTTGTTGACAGATGACTGAATGGATTGGTGAATGAAGCAGCTGAAATTATATGAATGCCCATATTTAACAAGAGTATTAGCTGATTTCCTGCCTAAATGTTAGTTCAAGAGGAAAAAAGAATACTCAAATAACGGAAATAGTTCTTGAAAAGTTTATTCAGAGTTATTCACCTCACTGTTGGTAAGGTGTCCAGTTCATTCTCTGTGCCAGTATTTCCAGGTCTGCCCATTGCTGGCGATAGGCTTTGGGAAAACCAGTTTTCTGACACCCAAAGGTTAAATTACTCTTTTCAAAACATACCAAACTCCCAACGTTTGTAAAAGTATTGCATGCACCATTTTGCCATCAATCTTTAAATCTGAACCTTCATTATTAATCTGTATCAGTGGATGTTAAAATGAAATCATTTTAACAAATTATGACTGTACAAATCAAAATACCACTAGTTAATATTAGACAAGAGTATTTTACAAACACTACATTACATATTATCTTGCAATCTGAAACATTACATTTCATACTTGTGTAAGTTTAGATAACTGAGACTTCACAGAATTTAACAGCAAATGAAGTTTCAAAAATTTAATTCTGTACATTAGTTCCAACGATCTCTATTTTACAATCTGTAAGGCTCATGTCCTAGGTCAGCACCAAAAATATCTACAGAACTGTCTAACCAGTGTCATTCACACCATGTGATAGTGTTTTCAAGGTGAAAGTCTGAGAAAACGCTTTATTGATCCTACTTGCAGATCTTGAAGTGGAATACTTGTTTTGGCTGGTCAAAGTATGTAAAAACATGGGTGCTACCTTTTTATTTTCACTAAACAATTTTTTTTAAAAAAAGGAAAAAAATACTTCTATCATGAATTTAGGTTGTCAGTCTTTAGGTTGAATTCGTAACACTGAAGCATCAGAAGTAACCTAATAAGGCCTTGTCCCATCCTTCCTTTTTAAAATTTTTAAAAGGCAGCCAGAAAAATGGTTTATTTATTTTTCAAAATAAAGTACAAAGGATTGCGGCCACAAACCCCCTCTTACCCAGCCTCCCACAGCGCAGCTAACCCGGCGCACGGGCTCCGGGGCAGGCCCACGCTCCACCCACAGCCCGCGCACCCAGCGCCCGCTCGGCGCCCGCCTCTCTGCGCACAGGCCGCGCACAGGCCACACCGACCCCTCGTCGCACGGGCCGGGGTCTGAGGCCGCGCTCCCATGTCCAGGACCAGTGCTATCGCCCCAACTCTTCTCTCTCTTCAGAATGTACAAAGTTCAGAAAAAGAACGCTTGTCTTGCCATTTTCAAATGGGGTTTGTTCATGTCACACGTTAGAACACATTCCTAAACTAGAAACTTTCTTCAAAAACCACAGGTACCTTCAGTAATCTTGTTTGTTCAAAGTATAAAATTCTTAACATGTTCAAAACAATTAAAATTAAAGACCAGTATCTCTGCTCTTTCCTGCCAAAAGCACACGATCCATTGAACCACATTTAAAAACTAAGCTCATGCACATGAACGGCCAGAGGTATGAAGTTTCACAGAGCCCTTAACATCCTTTGAGTACATTGAGCATTGGCTAGATCACAACAGGAAGTACATCAGCAAACTGAGCGAAGAGACTTCCCCAAGAACACGACAGTTTTCCAGGTTCTGTGTCAGTCATATAAAATTTTAAGCGACATGTAATCCTTTAATATTGCCCCCAGACACCCCGGTCCCAGCAGTTCCCACACACACCCAGCCCCACCCAACCCACAGCGGAGTCTCCCCACACAGAAGTCCTCAGTGCTCCCCGTTGCTAATGACAGCTGCCTCCGGGTCTGCCGCCGTTCCCGGGAGCCTTGGCACTTTCTTAGCAGGACTTGGAATGTGCTAAAATCAAAGGGAAAAAAGTTGTCTCATGGTTTTTTTCTTCCTTTTTTTTTTTGAGTTGTGATACTAATTAAAGTTTCAATAGAAAAACAACTTCGGATAGGTTTATGTTAAATATATGCTCTATATAACTCTTCATAGTGGGAACTAAATATTCATTCTTTACCTTATAGTGGATTTATTATATAATTATCCATACAGTAAGACACAAGGAAGGCCCAAGATCCACCACAGTATTTTACTTGTCACATTTTACATGCACAACTCAAACACTAGGAGCTTGACCTGCTACCTAATGTGTGTAACGGCAGAAGCAAGGCTGCCTTCACCAAATTTGTGACAAGCAGGTAAAATGAAAAACTTCAAAGGCAAAGTCCTCAGTTTAAAGCCTGGCTGTGACCCTGGTTGAGTCATTTGACAACCTGCAGCCTCATCTCTAGATGGACGTAAGATCATTGACCTCAAGGTAATTTTTATAAGGATTAAATTAGAAAATACAAGTACCGGGCATAGTAGGAATTCAAAGCACAGCTATTATTGTCACTGCTTGACAATTCTGGGGACCGGTCTGACAACGGCCCAAGAGGAGGGAGGTGAGCGCCTCCACACCCTGCCCCTGCATCCTCTCTCCCCAAGACGCACCACAAACGGGCCCCCCTTTTGGTCTGTCTTCCTTTAAATCCTGGTATTATTAAAACCTAGTATTTTCAAAATGCTGATAATTTAAGAGCAAGGACTTTATAAACGGGAAAGTGGCACAGCTGGAATTCAACCCTAGAGTCCTGCTCTGAATTTCTTTGCTTTCTGGACATTCCTTTAAGTTCCTAAATCTGTATGGTCCCCCAAGGCCGGTGACCTGGGGATGGAAACGGTTCCACGCCCGGCCCAGGGGCGAGCCCAAGGAGCCGGCTCACCTCGGCCGCTGCGCTGGAATGCACAAGCCCCGCTCCTTCACCCAACGTGTCGGCGCTGGGAGAGGGGCGCCGGGCGTACGTCCTCCTGTGCTTTTCATCCACTCTGGCCAGGTACCACGTTCCTTCGAAGAGTGAATCGATCGAACTCTGGGGAATATAGTTGGCTAAAGGAAAGGCAGAGGATGTGACAAATTATTTACAACATACAACTATCTGGTAATAAACTAAAGAAGTTGCACATTTTCCTGTAATTTTTATCAACATCAAATTAGGGCTGAGTACAGTCTAGGTAAGTGGATATTCTTATCTTAGATGGAACATGTTTAATGTTGTTATAGCCTTCCAATAGGCTTCTGGGTGTATGTTTACATATATTAACAACTTAATTTAATATTTTTACCCAGGTGATGAGTATCCTCTCTGAGCTTCATGCTTTCAGCAAAGACAGCTGGTGTCACACAAGTTCTTGAGTCAAGCCTTGATTTAAGATCACATAAACTTGCTGTTATTTTATCAAGAGCAGACCCTAAAATAGTAAATAATTCCAACGTTAAAAGACTAAAAATAACATGCCCAAAAGCCTAAACAAAATGTTGCCAAATGGGAAAAAAAAATCTTCTCAATTCCGTTACAAATGCTGGCTATTTAGTAAAAAGATAAGATGGTGTCTATCTATCTGACACAGCTTCCTAGGACCTCTGACTATACACCTGCTGGGTGTCAGCAGATGTACAAGGTAGGAAGAGGGCAGGTGGGATTTGAAAACACAAATAAGTTGTGTATAGGCAATCCATGACACAGATTTTGAAGCAACCCTAACTCCACCATCGCTTTTTCTCTGTTTTTGCTCCTTCCAGCTCAGAAAAGGCACAAAAAGTTTTCTTTAATACAGCCAAGACCACAAAGCTATAAAAACTAGATAACTTAGATATTAGCGAACAATAAGAAATGATTCACTCACGTGTCAGACTCAATCATTAAACACTTAAAAGCTGCCTGTGTTCAGTTGACGTACTTCCTGTTCCCCTGACTACATGATTGAAACATGAGATAAAAGGAAAACTCAAAAACACTACACTATAAAATGTCTTTAAACTGGTATTTTTTTCCTGACTTGGAAAGAAGGAAAGATGATATCATCGCTCAGTTTACCCAGTTCAGGGAGATTTTTAGAGAGAGTGAACATCGGGCTATGTTCAAAGAGGTAACGAGGACAGGAACGCAGTAACGACCTAGGTGGCAGACCCCAGTGCCCGCAGAGACGCTTGCGGCATCACCTTTACCGCAGCAGGGCCACAGCACCTTCGTGGAGAGAGCCTCAGTGTTTACCTGGTGTGGCATCTTGTGTGACTCTCAGGGAATACAGGGTGGCGGCCAAGCCAGAACCGTAAGAGAACACGCCGATCCTCTTTCCTGCCAGCTGCTGCGGCGAGTACCTGCGCAGGGGAAAATTAGCAGGATGTTCAATGGGCCCAGCACAGCACTGCGCAGGAGCTGTGAGTGGGAATAACTCCTGCAGCCTCGAGGACCTGACCTGAAGCTTCACCCTCACTGTAAGCGGCAGAAACGAGCGTTTTCATCTCTTGGAGAATGATGGGGCTCATGAAAGTTCTTTTACCATAACGTAAGGTACTTTGTCAACGGGGATTGATGGTTTGGAATAATAAAACCATGAGATGAGGAGCCAGAAAAGGCAGGGCGACACTAAATACTCTGGAATAACTGAGCCTCGCCCCATATAGCCTTTCCAGTCAATGGACAAGGGGTCAGAGAGCCTGGAAATAAAATATCACCTTGGGACTGGGTACCGCATCTGGCCTTGGAATTCTAACACTCCCCACGCGAGGGGAGGTGAGCAGCAGAAACAGATACTCACTGTGCTAGGACAGAGGCAAGGGAGCCGTACACAGAGGACGTGTACATATTTCCGTTTTGATTCGATACGAGCAAAGATGCCTTTGTTTTCTGATGAAAGAGTTCAGAACTAGCCTTCATGAATGCCTTTTCAACATCTCTATCAAAGTAGGTATCTTCTAATTTAACATCTCTGAAAAATTTGTAAAAAAGACAGTTTTAGTGTTCAAAGACACCATTTTTATTGTATTAAATAGTATATCCAATTAATATTCTAATCTGCAAGTGGATATCATTTTGTTTTTTTATGATTCCATTTGTTGAAAGCCAAGTAGCAGCATACTAACCGCTATGGAAGACACAGCAGTTGTAGACGGACAATCCTTTTTATCAAAGTTTTTTAATAATCAAGTTAAGAAAACTTGATTTTAATGGATTAATAACCCACTAAAGCATCGTTGCCAACACAAAAAATATGCTATTTTAAGTCCATAATGTCTACTCAGTTAGAAGAGTTACTGTTTTACAGGAGCTAAGTCTTAAAAGTGGAGTAGAATTTTATCCGCTGGAGAAGGGACACAGGCCAGGAGACACAGCGAGTTCAGAGCACAGCAGGCTAGGGAGCCTTCCAAGTGGGAGGGACATGGGAGCAGGCTCTGATGGTGGCAGTGCGGGGGGCGGGGGGTGGCAGGGGGCGCAGATCTGGGGCATGGGCTAGAGAGGCAGGGAGGCCAGGAAGAGGCTGTTGTAAGCGTGGCACTTGGGAGCACATCATCGTGGCGACAACAGGAAGCTACCAGGAGGAAAACAGAAAAATCTGGGTCGAAGGTTTAAAGAATTCCTATAGCTAAAAGTCACCACTTCTCTGGGACTCAGTTTCTTCACGGATGACACAAATAGGTTAGACTAGATTACTCCTAGTAATCTAGATCCTTTTGACTCTGAAATTTTCAGGACTGTACAAATCACAGTTTTACAGATATAAAAGGTATTCTCATACAGAAGGGAAAAGTCATGACCTCTTACCCAAAGGCTTCCAGGCCACTATAGATACTGTTTTTATCTCTGTTCTGGTCATTTAGAAAGTCATTCAGCATCATCCGGGCTAGAGACTTCTGAACCAGCTTGCAGTAGGGGGAGTGGAAGATCACAAAGCCAAAATCGTTCAAGGTGAAATCTTGATCAATTCCCTCTGAAAAAAAAAATCCAAAGATATTATGGAACTCACATAAGCCATTAACTTTTGACTTTTTATTTCTAAACAGGGCTAGGGTGTTTTTATATCTTTAAATTGCAACTGAAAATATACTGTACAATGAAAAATCTCTATGGTTTAAAATGCATGTCAAAAAGACATCCAGAGAGAGAACAGAGATTACTGGTTTTCAGAGGTAAGTTACAACCCATTAGTGGACTGTGTAATCAATTTAGTTGAGTCAGGGCCAGTGTTTTGTTTCTTTTCTTTTTTTTTTAATTAGAGGTTTTGTGTTTTGTTTTGTTTTTTTAACTGCACACACAAACAATTGAAAGCGTGTTTTTTACTCCGGGTCCTAATAAAGTTACAAAATCATGCCCTGGCTGGGTGGCTCAGTTGGTTGGAGTGTCATCCCTTACACCAAAAAGTTGTGGGTTCAATCCCTGTTCAGGGAGCTTATATAGGAGGTAACCTATTGATGCGTCTCTCTCCCCCTCCTTTCCTCTCTCTAAAATCAATAAGCATATCCTCAGGTGACATATACTGTGTTAAACAGTATGATATTTTACATACTGCAAGAATGCTTCTTATCCAGATCCACTAGGCTTCTGAATATTGGTTTACTCCTGTCTCACAACCTCTATAAAGCAAAACAGGACTATGGGAAAAGCACACTTTATATGATACTGTGTTTTAACAGCACTGACTCAAACTTTGTTGTCTTCTGTACCTCAACTAACTTTTTCAGGGGAGCCAGTTTCATTCTGGAAAAGATATGTTGTATCCAGAAGAACTAAGTAACTATGTCTATTTTTACCCCCAGTCAAATTACGATTTCTAGGCAGTTTTTACTTGGTTAGAAAGCAGTGCTTAAATCCTTGAGGCTGTGCGCTGTGTTCTACTCAAGTTGTGACTATCAGAATGTTGTTTTGTAGACACCACACCATGATGTGACTGTCTATGTCCATGTCTGTAATCAAGTTACACTGTGAAGTATGCCAGTCTTTTGAGTGGCAAAAGACACAGACTGCTTGTTGTTTAACCAAGTGCCCTAAAGCATGTACCTAATATTGTATCATTATGTTAATTCTAAAAAGCTAAGCAACATAGATTTTGAAAACTATTAAAAAAATATACCACTACAAGGGGCAGAGAGGTAGTGATGAACTTTTTCAGGGTCAAAAACGGAGATAATGATGATAACTAAAAAAGCAAATATGGGGACTTCCAGTCAAGATGGAGGTGTAGGCAGTCAGCTTCGCCTCCTGGAGCAACCATAGAGAGGATTACACTAGAGCTCAAAACAAGTCACACCCCAAACTGTCAGAAAATCAAGCTGCATGAAGTCTGACAACCAAGGATTTAGAAAAACCACATTGACCCAGATGGGGAGGAGGAGAGGAGCTCCGAAGCGGGGGTGGAATGGGCGGCCCCGCATTCACATGTGGTGGATAAAAATCAGGGGCGGGACGTTGCGGGCGAGTGACCCCAGCCCCAGGCCAGGTCACACAGCCCAGGTATGTTCCAGTACCGGGAAGATAAACCCCCGTAACTGCTGGCTGTAAAAACAGTGGGGGTCTGGGTAGTGCAGGAAGCTGCCAGATTTTCAGGAGACTCGAATTAAAGGGCCTGCACGGTGGTCTTAGAACGTACCCAAACCCACCCGCTCCAGGATGTGCACTAGGGCAACAGCTGGAAGGGTGGCAGTCACATCCGGGAAGTGGGTGAAGTGGCTGGAACTGGGGCAAGTGCCACGCAAACCTCCAGAAGCCAGGCAGTGGCACTGTCCCCTCTCCGAGCCCGACTCCTCCCCCCACCGCAACAGAAGAAATAGTTAAAGGACACTAAGGAAGGACACCCGCAAAACAGGTTCTCACTGAAGACATCCAGTGCCTCGTCCTCCCCAGAGACCAAGTCAAGGAAAATGGGTAAAACCTACCTTTCTGCCACTGGGCACGGATCTTTTTGCGGTAGACAGAGTAGCAGCGGTCTAAGGCACTGAGGTAGCACTGGATGGAGAGTTTCCCATCTACTGTGGGATATTCCGAAAGCATGTCTGGCTTGTAAAAGTCATAGGCATGTTGCATGTGTGTCCCACGAAGTCCTATTAGAACCAAAAAGGCAGATGTCCATGGATTTCTGCTTCTTGATGCCTGTAGGTCAGTAAGCATTATCGGGGGGCCTTCCTTGACCAGTCACCTCCCGCCACTTGCGATATAAAAGTCACAAGGCGGAGCCAATATGGAATCGAAAAGAAACAACAGTGTCCATGACTGGCCTAAGATTCCTTGGACAGACATGTTCGTGCAAGCTTCATAAATCTAACTGGGAGACTGCAATTGTTTACTGAACTGAAATCAAACCTGCCACTGACTTTGTAACCATGGTTAAGTTACTCCTTTCAGGGATTCCTTAAATGCACTTTCCTTCTCTGTAAAATGGGGATGGCATCACTTGCCTTGTATAACTGCTATGAACACTAAATTTGATAACACACATACAGCGCTTAGCAGGCAGTGAATGCCTGCACTGAATGAACACTGAGTTAGTACTAGCTTCTGTTTTCAAATTTCTCAGCATATTATGCTAAAACAACAACAACAACAACAACAACAACAACAAAACCAACCTTTCCCACTCACCTCGGTCAAAAATTAAAGGAGCATTTGGCCCAATGAGCATAGCAACGGCTCCGACTCCACCGGTAGGTCTAGCGTTTCCTGTGGCATATACAGCAATATCTCCTGTAACCACCAGGGCATACCGTCCTGAAAAATATCATTAGCGCAAAAGAAGGTGATCCATACTATAAGTATTATACATGGAAACTGAAGTGTCGCCTTTTCCCCAGACTATGCTTTCCATCTTTGGCAAAGAAAGAAAATGGCTGACTAAATTTTGATAATTATGCTACACGATAAAGACAACCAATTCATAATTCAGGTAGGCTGAAAGTCACAGCTATCTTCCCGAATGCATTCCAACAGCCTAAGTGGGAATGTCTGTACACAGCGTAGATTAAAAGGCCACCTGGGCCTATTCGTCTTCCAGGACTGCTTCTGTGGGACAGAGACATACCATCCCATGAGCTGGACTCGATCCAGTTCACGGCGTTGAAGAGGGCGGCCGTGCCGCCATAGCAGGCATTCGTGGTGTCTATGCCTTCTATGTCCGTGTTCCCCGACTCCTCGAAGAGCTGCATCAGATTGGTCTTCACCGACTTTGATTTGTCGATGATTGTCTCTGTTCCTACTTCGAGCCGCCCGATGCACTCATAGGAAAGGTTATTTCTCTCCATCAGATTCTGAACCACAGTCAGGCAAAGGGAGTTGATATCTTCTCTATCCGTGCAGAAGCCCATCTTGGCCTGGCCCAAGCCAATAGTATACTTTCCAGCATCTACACCATCGTACTTTTCCAACTCGACTTGATCAACATATTGAGAAGGAAAATAGATCTCCAGGGCAACAATTCCCACATCTTTTGGCCAGCAGGCTTCTGCATTCAAAGGAAGTGACCCAGGCATGGTGAAAGAGCTTTAGAAAGAAAAACAGAAAAACACAATTTTGTTATATACTGTCAAGTTCCAACTTGAGAAACTGACACTAAGAGTTCAACTATCACCTAAAATATTAGTTTACCTTCTAAGTTTAGTATATTTTACTCAGGGCAGTCAAAAAAAATTTTTTTTTAAAGATTCTATTTATTTTTAGACAGAGGGAGAAAGAGGGAGAGGAACATCAATGTTTAGGGTGCTTCAAATCAGTGGGCTTCAATCAGTGGTTGCCTCTTGCACACGCCTTACTGGGGACCTGGCTGGCAACCCAGGCATGTGCCCTGACTGGGAATCGAACCAGTGACCCTTTGGTTCACAGGCTGGCACTGAGTCCACTGAGCCACACTGGCCAGGGCTCAGGGCACTCGAATTTAAATATGTGGAAGTAGCAACTATAGCAAGAATGAAATACTATTATTTAAAATTATCTTTCAGAAAGGCTTGAATTTTATTCAAAACTAGATAAATTTATAGATTTACAATATGATTATTAGAAGTAAAGGAAACTCAAATAAGATTCTCCCATGTTGTAAAGAACCAGAAGATGAAATACAATGACAATTTAGTAATATGGCTCACAAATCAGAATTCAAGTACCTGATCTATTTCTGGCCACCCAAAGTTTAAATAAGTCAGTCAGTCAGTCATCATAGACACATTGGTTATTCACAGCTAATGACTTTATAGGACTTTACAAATTGTTAGATCAAACAATACTACATTCTCTATTAATCTAAGCAAGTAGAGAAGCCACACTACAGAAGTCTACTAGGCTGATCTATACACAGCCCCTGATACATGATCCTTCCTTCCAAAGAAGCCCTCCTCCCCCGAAACCCAAATGATTACAATTTTAAGCAAAGACAAGTTCCAGAACCTATCAAGGGTCAGATGCCAATATTCTATACTTTCCACAGCTGGTGTATAGGTGCTAAAATGATTATAAAACTACAAGGTATCACTTAGCTTCTAAACAGGAAAAAGAAAAACATTAAATTTGAAAACAGGTAATTCACACATTATTAGTATGGCAACTGACTCTTAGATAACATCTCTTAAAACCACCCCTTCTCTTTTCAAAAGGGCACTAAAAGGTTGGACACACTGTCAATACTTAGTTGTATCTTAGATATACTTATCAAAAGTAATAAGAAAAAGAAAACAAAACTGCACTAGCCACTCAAGGCCCTTGCTGGGTGCCTAATGGCAAGTCACATAAACTATCAGGGCCTCAATTTCTTCAGGGGTTGTATTAATCAGGAAAACAGAAACTATTCCATATACTTCAAACAGCGAGGCCTGAACACCGGGAAATGGCGACAAGCTCGCTGGCCAAGCTCCAGGAGCAAAGTGACAGTGGACCTGAGAGCCACCGCCATGCCCTGCCCCAGGCTGCTGAGGCTACCAGAACCGGTCCCTCTGCACTGAGCTAGAGCCAGAGACCCAGGCCAGGCTCCCGCCACCCACAAGGACATGTGGGTACCTTCTCCCACCTTCTGGTCTCACTGGAGCCCAACTGCCATGAGGGGGGCGGAGAGCTGTAGGTGTCAGGCTGGAAGGAGTGGCACCGTCCTTATTTTTAGAGAAAAAATTCTTTCCATAGCTAACCTTCTGAGACTCAATTTCCTTTTTAAGTATCACATCACAGGACAGGGTCACTTAAGTGGCAGATTCTCAGCTCCTCCATGACACCAAAGTCCTGGCTTTTGAGTTACCCGGGCCACACTGCCTCCTAACCTTCCATAGCATTTGCCAACTCTCCACTCATTTGACTCCTGAAAATGGAAAGTCAATTCCTGTATTTGTGTCACTTGTCCTCTGCCACTCTTCAAACTCTAGAACGGTATTGGGTAAAATGAAATTACAGACTACTGCCACAGTGAGTTAGCTGTTGAAATCTTGAGAGTATCAGAAGTAGAAAGACTGTCTTTAGATCATGATATCTACCCTTAGCCCGTAAGTCACCAAATTGTAGTATATTAAAACCTAAAAAATAAGCACCCTAAATATTATCACATAATCTAAGTTAAGGGCCTTAAGGGGTATCTGTTGAATCTTCCTTCTAAATATTAGAATCTTATTCATATTTTTTTTTCATTCAACAAAACAATGACAACATGTTCCATGCCAAAGACCGGGGGCAAGTTTCAGAGCAGAGGGCCCTGCCCTTTCAAGCAGTTCCTATCTCATGGGGTAGTAAGATACAGGCGAACAGTAGCACACGGCAGGGCCGGTCGCATTACAGTTTGGGGGATTACGTAACCTGCCCGGTGGCGGGGGCAGCGGGAAGCGAGGCCGCCCGGGGCCTGGAGCCCGGCTTGGGTCTCGGGAACGAGGAGTGACAGCAGGGCGCTGCAGGAGCTGACGTGGGCAGGCGGGCGTGGGTTCTCGACAGCGCGGACAGCACACACAAAGGCACACTCTAAGGGACTGTACAATGTCTGAGTGACTTACGGAAGTGCAATGTGAGGCCCAGGGAGTAGATCAGAGTTAACAGGTCAGGCCATAAAGGTTCTGGCCTGCTGACATAAGGGGGCGTCAATGCTGTGGAGAAGGCACTAAGAAGCCATCCGAGAACTGAAAGCAGGAATAACGTGGTCATATTTAGTGCTTAGATGAGTGTTTTTCCAACTCTAGAATCAAGTCTCTGGGTGACAAACAACACTTTTTTAAATTTAAAAGACAAAGAGAAAATATCAGATTGTATAGCACGTAGTAAATGTAAGCATTTTTTTCATGAAATTTTTGTTTCAATTATTCACACATATGTAGAGTGTGCTCCTTACTGAGGGTCCCATTTTCCAGCCACAGGTACTGTGCAGAAAACGGACTTGAGTCAGGAAGCTGGTGCAGCAGCCCCCAGAAGACGCAGGACATGCATGAGCCTAAGTGGCGAAGGAGAAACAAACAGCTTCCGAAAATACAAAGCATAAAACTGGCAAAACTGTGACTGACGAGACATTAGGAAAAAGAAATGTTTAGGATAATTCCCAGACATGCCGCCTCTACTGTCTGGGCTCTACGGGCTCACTGTTTGACACTCTAACTGAATGTAGAGAGAGAAGCGACCTTCCACCTTATTCTACCTTTCTCCTCTCCCACGCAAACAGGTCAATTCGTAATCTAAACTCTGCTACGCTGAAGTTGAAATGAAGATATAAAGGACTACATAACGTGTCACTCGGCAGATTCTAAGTTTAGAGAAAAATAAAAATAAGATTAAGTCTTCTGCACAGTCCACAGAAAAGAGCTCTACAACTAGTGCTGAAAAAAAAAAAAAATTCAGTCCTGGATTTTGGCACCAAATAAATAAATAAATAAATAAATAAATAAATAAATAAATAAATAAACGAAAAACAGACAGACCAGTCTGTATACTTACAAGAGGAACCTCTGCTATTGGCCACCTTCTAAGTCACTAGGGCAGAAGCAGGAGGATTAACCCACCTTCTCAGCCTGTCCCACAAGGTCACCCTTCAGATTCTTTTCAGGTCTTCAGTCCACGTTCAATGTCCGGGTGACAGTGTAACCTCCCCCGCCCAGCCCCACAGCTTGCAGTGCTTTTGGAAATAAAATGGGCAGGTATCTATCATCTTCTGAAGGTGTAAACAACTCTATAAAAAGCCATTAATACCAGGCTTTAATGCCAGAATCAATGCGTATGTCCCTTATTTATGATGACTGACTAGCTTTGATTAATTCTTATATTATGGCACTTAGAGAATAAGCCATTATTCTTAAACTTCCTAGGGGTCACATAAGTGACTTGCTTCATTTGGAAAAACAAACGTAGCTTAACTAAATAACCCACACACGTCAAGTTGAATCATGACTCTGATCTTGCTATGGAAAAAATTTTTACATTGTCTAACGCAGTCGATATTGCTCATTCTCTTGGCTAAGTTTTCGTTACACCCTTGGTAAACAGCCATCTAATGTGAAATATTTAGATTCTGGTTAAAGTTAAGGAAGAATAAGATTAAGACAGGAAAGAGGGAAAATACAAGGAATTGCTTCCATGGAATTTCAAACAACAAAGTTTGATATCATTTCTGGTCTGTAGTGTTTACCTTTAACTATCCTATCAGGTGTATGCTCTTAGGTTGCCTTCTCAAATGTTCTCTGAAGTAGGCCAGATAGAAATTAGAAAAAGAGGGAAAAAAGCCTAGCTTAAGGTCTCAGACGTGCACATTATGGTGTTAACCCCATAGAGAGTAGGGTATTTCTGGTTAATTCACTATTCTGTATTTATCACAAAATTTAAAAAACAGAATACAGTTTTAAAATCTGACAGTCTAAAAAATTACCTGCATATCTTTTTAATCTTTTTCTGCTAAAAAGGTACTTCATTATTTTTCAAGGCACTGTATACATATTTAAAAAAAAATCTACACAGGATAATCAGGATTCTGTTTTTATAATATGTAAATTCTTTTAAATATGAGGGAGAAGGTACACTTTTACCACAACTCTTGAAAGGGTAAACCTTTCAAAACTACCTTCCAACAAGGAAATACCACTGAAGACTCAAGTCTGTTCTGAAGTGAAGGTCCACCCCTTGGTGTGGACAAAAGGAGCTCTGGGTCTTATTGCCTAGGAGGACACAGTAGGGACTAATACGATCCACTGAGAAACTTAAAATCTGTGCGTGAAGGGGAACTGGGAGAGGCAGGGAAATGAGCCTCGCACGCAGATGAGAGGGCAGCGCCCACCCAGCTCAGCGGCTGGGCACGGGGGGCTTCAGCATCTATCCCCGGGGCATCTGACGCCAGCCTCCTCGGTGAGCTCCCCGCCTTCACTCTCCCCACAGCCTGGGCTGATCTTTCCAAAACACATCTGACTATCGTCAAGATGCTGCTGGCAACTTTTCCAAGTTTCTTCTCTATTATTTAGGGTCAGCCTCTTTGCACTAGACAAGAAGCTTCTGGAGAGCAGGAATTGTATCTTCTTCATCTTTGTGTCCCTGGTACCCACCCCAGCATTTGGCATATGGTGGAAGCTGAATGTTGAATAAATGCATTTCTATTAGCCTTCTGAAGTCAGCAATAATCGTGGGGAAGTGTAACACTGAAGCACGCACACACACAAAAAGCGGAATCGTAAGAGAGGTGCTCCATGGCGATACAGGAAAACAACGGCCGCAGATAATCAGATTATTGCTCAAACAAATGTACATTCACTGTCCGATCTCACATAATGGTGAACCTCCATCCAAAGCCCAGCCATGTATCGTTTGAGGATGTAATCTATACAGCTCTGTAGGCATGCATGCTTACCTGTGATTCTTTGTGATTAAACAATACACATGGTTATAGATTATTTTATGAGTGAACACTAATTTTAAAAATTAGTTCTAGATTTTAACCATTAGTCAACTAAACACAAAAGCAGATAGTCTCCTGAAGCATCGTTGCATTCACCGATATTTGAAGCTACAGTGTAACTCCATAAAGGGCTTGCAGGATGTGCGGTGCATGCGGATGGTTACTTGCCCTGGAAAAAAGTTAAATTCCCCCTTCCATTCAGAGGAACACCTTCCTTCAGCAGCACCAAGGGCACCATACCTGTGTGAGGGACAAGGAACTTCAGTCTCCAGGTCTGTCACTGTTTCCTCTTTCAGGCACTAGAAATTTCAAATGAGAACTTCGTTTAAAGTCAAAAATTACCACAGAGTCAAATAATGACTACAATTCAAAATGAGTTAAACATTTCCTGGCGCAATTACATTATGCAGTACAGAATTTCACTTGGCTTAGAAAAAATGGTATTTAAAGCTTACAAATGAAACTTTCCCCCTTTCTTTTATTAGCTCTTCTAGGAGGAGGTTCAGTTCTGGTAATGAATTGACACATGTCCATGTTCAGGCTTTTAAACAAGTCTGATGCTGGGAGGGTTGTAGTCTTTACTAAATTTGGGCTTTCAAGTATTGGGAGAAAGAAATATAAATAAGTTGAACTGAGCTAGCAAAGTAAAGAGACCAGAGTCCAGAAAAAGAGATTTACACATTCAAGGGCTTACTCAGTCAGCACTTAGGGGTTTGTAGCTTTAACAGTAAGTTGTGACTCTTTGAGCCTCAATTCCCGCATCTGTAAAATGGAGCTAGTACCAGCCTTCCCAGCTCACTGTGAGGGATTGTGGAGAAAGTATGTGAATAATGCTTTGTAACATAAAGGACCAATACAATTTTTTTTTTTTGAGAGGGAAAGAAACATCAATTTGTTGTTCCACTTGTTTATACATTCATCAGTTGATTCTTGTATGTGCCCTGCCCGGGATGGAACCCAAACCTTGGTGTATCTGGATGATGCCTTAACTAAGCCAAGGCCAACCAGACCAATACATTGACTATTATCCTAGTTCTCAGTAGTTTTCAAACAAAATGCCTATCTTCCTACCAAGACATAAATACCTTCATTTGTTTACTTTTATGCTTCTAGTTTTCAGCTCAGCCACCGTTACCCTCTGCAACCTCTCAGTGATTTACCCCTTAAGCGCTTGCATTAAAAAGACAAGCATTTGCTACGTCAAGAGAAGAAACATCAAGCTTTATCAATATCTCTACTAGTGGTGACCTGCAGCCCTTTTCTGTAGTCGGTCTATTTCACCGGATTGTTACTTGAGAGGACAGTTCCTATGTTTAACAGGAACCCAATTTCCTTTGCGCTCTAATTACTGGCCAATTTGGCACTGGCCCAGAGACTACATTGAGATGCTGTTTAGTTAAAGCTTTATTTCCTTTACATCATTAGATGATTTAAGAGCTCTTTACAGACTTAGTACCTTTTACTTAATCAAGTTTACCCTTGCCTCCCAAAATAAATAAATCCTGAGTTTTACATGAAAAAAATAAGACTACTACATTCCAAAAACACCTCTTTGATGAAAGCATTACATATAAACTTTGAAAATATAAACTTTTTTCTTCTTTATTATCTCAAGTTACACTTTGGCTTTTGTAATCTGCAAATTAAGCAGATCATGAAGACCAGTTGTCACTGGTGCGGAAAAACACCATTCCCTTTGCATGTTGAGACTATTTCAGTAACAGGAATATTTGTTCTTGAAGCCATGTGTGTATATGCATTGGACACTATTAATGCCAAGGGAGCTTCACCCTAACAGCCAATATTTCCTCTTTCACAACTGATTATTTTAATTGGGGAAGAAGGAACGCATTTGAGATCTTGCTCCCTAGCTTATGTCATCAGTTTGGCTCAAACAAACTCTTATAAAAATTCAAAAAAGAATAATTAAACAAACTGGGAAGGAGGCTGGAGGAGGGGGAAGGAAAGAGGCGGGAGGCGGGGGACGGGGAGGGGGGGGGGCGGGCAGGCACTAGGGCAAAAAAAAGGGAGGATGGAAAGCGAGCTCCAGAGGGCTGCTGTGCTCCTCGCCTGCCCGGGAAAGGGGTCCAGAGACCCAGGGGAGGCGGGCCCGACCCTGCGGGAGAGTCTGTCAGAAAGGGGTCAGGCGTCCCATCTTCTGCTCCGGCTGGATGGGCTCTCCACTCTGACTACAAAGCTTCCAGCAGGCCAGCTTGGTCCCCCCTGGAGTGTCTGCAGAGCACGTGGCACAGCGGAGCGAGTGAATCACAATCACAGGCAGTAGGCTGTTCAGCAGGTTGCCATAGCCCGTGTTTGGAGATTCCTTAGGCAGTGAGTTTGGCAAAGGCGAAAACTGAAGGAGGCTGGGCCTGCCCCTGGCCAGCCCGGTGCCTGCACAGATGGCCGGGGTTGCTGGGGTCGAGTCGGTGCTCCGCACTCCTCAGGCTCCCCTCTGGCCTTGACTCAAGCAGGTGGGCAGAGAAGTCGCTCCAGTACACGAATCGATACAAGGTAAACTATAAGCAGTTACCTGGAGGTCTTTTTCACTATTACAGGAGAGAAATCCAGGAAACTGAGAATAAGCAGCCTTTCCACCTTAGGAGCCAGGAGGCAAAACCACGGCTAAGAAAGCCTTGCCTACACCGCACAGGGTGGTCTAGTTCTTTGAGCAGAAAACATGGATTTCCCTGCCTATCCCCCTCCTGCCCCCCACCCCCGGTTACTGCTCTGCTTATCAGAGAGTCTACTGATATTTCAAGACCCTCTTCTAAGCTGCCTCTTTCAGGAAGGTTTCCTAGATTTTTCTAATCAGGGCCCTGCACTCCTACGGCAGGCTTGTCATTCACATCAATGCTCTGAGAAGAAAACTACCGGCGATCTTATCCACACTGGGTTCCTAGACTCCTGTTGGGGAGGGACTGTATTTTGATTCTTTTGAAATTCCTCTGAGACCTTGGAGCAAAGGGCACCCAACTGCCATTTTTTAAGCAGCTGAATGCAGAGTTATAACAACTAGAGGACAAATCTGGAAGTACTTGTAGCAGCCCTTACTAGTACATTCTTTTTGCTATCATTTTTAAGATAGGCTATAGCACCAGTGTCCAGAAAATTGGCTTTCTACTCTTGTTGTTCAAAGCAAACGATAGGTTTCAACTGTTCCCAGAACCTAATCTGAAAAATGTAAGGAGTCAAAATAGAATCAGAAGAGACCACTTGTGGTTCTTAAAATCACTTCCACATGTACACATCTTCAACCACAAACCCTACAAAAATGAAGACTGGGATCTTGAGAGATTAGCTTCTCCTCTACTGCTCTAACTATTTTCAGTCTATAGACAGCAAGTGAGCATCATCACGAGCCAAGCATTAGGATGAACAGATTATTAATAATTGAGGAGTCCAACCACGCTCCCATTAGGCTGGGTAATATGCTTCCCAACTTTTTTAACCTATGCTACCTTCTTGAGAAATATAAAAATACTACACCCCTTCTATAATTGGTGTTTTTGCAACCCAGCATAAAATTATAAGACCTTTTATTCATTTCTAATTGAAATGAAAGAGATTCTGATATATAGCCCAACAAGCTCCTCTATCTACAACCAACTCTGTCTCCCCACATTCTGTTCCACTGGATTATGGTTTTAAATTATTCTAGGCTTCCCAGGAAATACATTATATCAAGATCAGCACTTTGCATTTCCTGTGAGAAAAGCTATCTAAATTCTTGATCAAAAATTCTCAAAATCAATCCTACTTAAGAGAAACAGGATGCAAAAGCATTTTGGAGGAATATTTATGTAAACAAGATCAAAACCAAGATCCAGAATAGCCTAACAGATGACATGGCCTTCTATGGCTTCCAACATAACATCCATATAACTCTCCCCGTTGGAAACACCTACTGGGGTTTCCAATGGAGTTACTGACTAAAGTAGAACTGAACTGAAGTAGAATTGAAAATAGGGCAAACATAAACTTGAAAGAGAAACCTACGAAGGATAGACACAAAGAAAGGAATGTCTTACTCCTCTCCCATAAGACCTGCTATTCTTGCTCTTCTTATCCATACAAGAATAACTGAAACTAAAAAAAAAAAAAAAGGTTTGATCAAAAAAGAACACAAACTGCTTAGATGTCTCAAGCTACAGGGAATCTTTTGGCACAGACATGTGTTAAGGACTTTCAATCTCCCTTCCAACAGAATCTGCACTAAAAGTCCACACTCCATCTCAGAAGGAAAAATCTGTCAACTATTCGAGCACTTCCGTTTGTGATAATTTTGTCCTTTTTTTGCCATCCTCTTTCCTGATTCATCCCTGAAACACAGCGAACGTTACTCTCAGTTACTCTCAGCAGCAGCGGAGCCGCCACCCTGCCGCCGCAGGCTGGCCAGGGCATCGGAGGCACGCGCTGCAGCAGGTGGAGCATCCGATGGAGCCCGTGAGGCCCTAAGACCCGGCCACAGGGCAAGCACGACAAGCAGGGGCAGCCGCGTATTACCTGTGGTCCAGTCCCTCCTCTACCGTGGCTCTGAGCATCTCTCTCTCGACCACCGGACATGGTTTTTTTTCAAAGACTCCATACACCTGGCTTTCAAACGTCCTTGTGTTTGAGGGCCCTGTGGGCGCCTGCTCTCTAAATCATCCTGGCAGGTCAGGCTAATCCTGGAGCTGTCAGTAGGAGGCAGGGACAGGATTTCAGAACACCGAGGAACCTTTTTTTTTTTTCCTTTTTGAATGGGCATAAAAAATATGGAGGCGGGAAGGTGGGAGGCAGGAACCTGCGGTGGCTGAGGCAAGCACAGTGAGAGCAGTCAAGAGCCCCAGCACTCAACCGGGCTAGGTCAAGGCTGCGATGCTTTCTTGCACCTGGCACCAGGGAGTCGCGCTGCCCACCTTCCTTCCAGCCCGCCCCTCCGTCAGGGGCGGCACGAGGACACACCCCCTGCCACCTGCCTCCTACCACCTTAGCGTGATCTTCCCCAGCCTTCGGCGTCCACCTTTATTTACCCCCGGGTCCGGAACACCCTGGAGGCCCAGCTCCTTTCTCGCCCCTCCTGATGCACTGCCCTCCCCATCCCCTCGGTGGTCACCGCCACTGCCCTGGCACCGCCAGCTCCCGGCTGACTGAGTCACTAGAACTGTAACCTTCAACGCCCTTTCGCCTTCTCCCCTCCGCAGCGCGCCAGCCCGCACCAGGGTCGCGGCCCTTCCTCCCCCCGGGTCCCAGCGGGGAGCCCTGCACAGCCCGGACTCTCGGCGGGCCGCCCCCGGGGCCAGGTCCCCCTCTGCCCTGAGCCGGACCGAGCCCGAGCTCCTTCGGGCCTAGTCAAGGGCACCGCCTCCACCCGGCCCTCAGCCCGCCCGCGGCCCCTCAGCAGCCCAGCTCCGGTCCCCCTAGCAGGGTACTCACCCAAAGGTGACCAGGCGACGGCAGAAGGAAGGAAGAGAGCCACGAAGGCGCAGGGTGCGGCGCCTACCCTCGCCACCAGCTTTATAGTCGTCCAGCCTCCCGACTCCGGCATCGCCGGGAGGCGGTGGGAGGCGTGGCAGGGGCTCGAGCAGCCAATCGCGGCCGGCAGACTAGCCCGGCAGTGCCCGCCCCACAGTCCGGCTCCTACCAGTCAGAAGGAAGGTGGAGGCGGGCGCTCGCACAGGTTTTCCCTCGTGGCTGGAAGGGCGGGAGGAGGGGCGGTGTCCAAGCCTGAGGGCAGAGGAAGTGGGGTGAGAGAGTGACGTCGAGTGGCCCGAGAACAGGCCGGCCAATGACAGAGCGGCGCGAGACGGCGAGAGCCAACGGGAGCGGACTGAGAGGTTCTCCGACCAATTAGAGCTGAACGAGAGGAGACGGGGGCCAATGGGGTCGGCGCGTCCCACCGCTGGGGAGAGATGGTCCAGTGTGGGAGACAAGTTGGTCCTCGCTTGAGAGTTTGTCAGGTTGCCTAGCAACCAGAGCTCGGCTTCATCTTTAAAATTTGTGAAATACTTGCTTTAGATTCAGTCTTAAGGTTTTCTAGTTTCCAGAGCTGCCAAGTGCAACTGCCTTACAAGTTGCAGCCGAATACGCCACCCAGAATTTGTAAATCTGTAAATATTCCAAATATCCGATTTGCAAATTCCCAGTTTTGCCACCTCTATTCAAAACTACCTTGCCTTTTTAAGAGACTGCTCTTGGTGCAGTTCTTCCTAACTAAACCCAAAACAAAGTAGTTTGGGGTTAGATACTAGCAAGGAGAGTAGGGGCCGTGCCTGAGCAGGGAAGTTGATCCTGGTTCTGGGATTTTTGCTGGCCCATGCACTCTGAGAAAGGGGCTCCACGGGGCCGATTCCCCCATGTGTCTTCTGAGCCTGAGATGTCGCAGGTGCCAGATAAAAGGCTGTTGAAAAAAGGAAGACACACCATAATTCTCAGCGTGGGGAATCCACAGGCTAGGGACTGCCTAGCTCGCTCAGAAAGCAGAGAGGAGCAATTCAGCCCCGGGGAAATCATTGGAATACTATTCGGGAGAAGCCAAAGGAGGACGGTTAGGGCCTTAAATCAGACTCTGCCTCCTCTGCTCCTCGGGTAGGGAAATTCTAACGATTAGCTTTGGTCGCGGACCATGAGAGATTCAGAGCGTTTTGTATCGCTCACACTCTGAGTTTGGAATCTGCTGCTTAAGTGGCCACTGATGATTCTTTGCATCACATAACTCCTGTTATATGAGAAAATGTACTATCTACTATAGATACTAATCTAGTAAGAGACACCCTCAGCAGCAAAGTAGCAGAATACATCGACAAAAGAACAAGTGGTGGCATTAGATTTTTCGGGGAAGAAGATCACTTGATAATGGTTTTCTCTCCACAATATTGCCCATGACATTCATTCTGTTCCAGAATCAATGCCATTTCACATTTTCTGATAGTAACTAGGTGATAATGGGAGAGACACAGCCCAACTGTGATCAATAGCAATTTTGAGAGGGGGATCAAACATTCTTGGCATCTTAGAAAGCACTGAAAGGCAGTTAAGGACAAACATAGAAGATAAAGCTTTGTTTTTAGAAAGGGAGGGCAAAGAGTTCCAACTCCAAGAATACACAGTAGGAAATGATTAGCCAGATAGTCATGAGGACAATTCTCTTGTGCAACAGGAAATTTCCAACAGGCACAGACTGTCTTTTTGACCAAATCCATCTTCATTTAAACAAAGCAAGCATGGTTGTTGATTGATTGGGAAGCCAAGCAATGGATAACAAAATAGGTTAGTAATTAAATACAGAACATCTCAATTGAATTTTAAAAAACAAGCTTCTGAGATTCTGTGAAATATCATAGGAGATTATATGAAGCCCCACAAAGATTAGGTATGGCCTAATTGAGGACAAAGTATACATACTTCTATTCTTGTTCTGCAAGGTTCTACAATTTGACACAAGCAGAGTGAAGTCAACGTAATACTTGAATGTGCATTAAGACATGGTAAAATATATGTTTTATTACATTGTTTCTAAATATCCTGCCAAGTATTATTGGTTAAGCCCTGCTATATATCAATTTATTTTTCTGCACTACTTCGAAAGGAACAAAAGTTCCTCAAGAGTCAGGAAGATGTAATGGTAACATTTAGTATTATAAGTTCATCCGGTGAATAAATATTTACTTTTTACCTGCTCTGTGGCAGGGATTGTGCTAAACCTGTGCTGCCCAGTAAGGCAAAACACTAGCTACCTGTGTCTCTTGGGCGTATGAAGGGTGGCTAGTCCAAAGTGAGATGTGCTATAAGTGTAAAATAATACACCAAATTTTAAAGACCGAGTGCAAAAAAAAAAAAAGGAAATATCTCATAAATAATTCTATATTGATTACATGTAAAGATATTTTTGTTATATTGGGTTAAATAAAATACACTATTAAAACTAATTTTACTTGTTTCTTTTCAGTTTTTAATGTAGCTGCTAGAAAATGTAAAACTACATAAGCAGTTTTCATTTGTGCTGGACAATTGGAAGACAGGTTCTGTCCTTTAAAGAGTTCATAGTCTAAAGAGTGGAGGAGAGAAAAATAAATACAGCAAAGGGCTGGGTTTCCAGCCTCTAACTCACTAGCTAAAGAGTAGGAGAGGGTGGGAGGAACCTTCAAAGTTGCCAACAAAGTTATCTCCATCTCTTCAGATTTAAATAGCTTTATTTGCCTAAATATTCCGTCCATTCAAGGTAGAATTGCCAGTCAGGACTATTTCTCTGCAAGCCTTCCACTTGGCAAGATGGCATCGGGTTTTGCGAGCTTCCTGTGCTGTGTTTATACCAGAGGCGGGGTTCAGCCCTCCTGGGGGGTTCCGGTACTGGCCTCCTGTGCTGTCCAGGCCCCCCCAGGACAGGGCCGTCGTGTCAGGTGCTCTGTCCAGCAGTCTGCCCTCAGCGGCAGGCTCACCCAGCCCTGCTTGCCCCAGACCCCCCAGCATTTCAGCTATCTCCTTCCCCTTGCGTGAAGGGGGAGCTTCCATAACCCCTCCGCAGGACTCGGGAATGGGGTGCAGGCAGGGGTGAGGTGGATGACCTGTCCCTACCTGAGTGCACAGTGACACATTCTACTCTCCTGCCACACTCCAAAGCGGTGTGAGGGCCCAGGGAGATATTCTCCTCTCTCCAGGACATGCCCCCCTCGAAAGTTCTGAATGGGAACTTCATTGAAGACCCTACTGATTTAACACCCCCAGGCCAGCAATCCAGAGTGTTTCCCAACACTGCTCCCTTCCAGGGTTTATCTCTTGCCTTTCCTCTTGCCCATCTCTCACTCCTGAAATTGTTACTACTATGGGAGCGTGCATGAAAGGCAGTTTTTATTGAAAAAAATTTTTTTCATCACCCGAGGACATGCATAGTGATTTTAGACAGGGGAAGGAAGGGAAAAAGAGAGGAAGAGAAATATCAATGTGAGAGAGAAACATTCATTGGTTGCTTTCATAGAAGCCCCAGTCAGGGACCAAACCCTCAACACAGGTATGTGCCCTGACTGGGAATTGAACCCGTGACCTTTCGGTTTGTAGGACGACGCCCAACCAATGAAACCACACTGACCAGGGTAAGAGGCAATTTTTAAATAGCACAGTTAGTGGTTTTAATATAGTTCAAGTGCAACACAAAGAAACATGTCCAAAGGAGAATCCAAGTTTAAAGGGTATCTAAGCCATCCTGGCAGTCAAGGAAGGCTTTTCAGAGCATGTGATACTCATTCATGTATCACATTCTGACATCTGGATTGAGTACTACTATGTACCAGGCACTGCCCTAGGCTCAGGGGCTCTGTGTCATCCATAAGAGAGACGCAATTTCTCACCCAGTCAAGCTTAGTGGAGGAAAACACTGTGTAAGAAAACTGGTAAATTGAGTTATCTTCAGACAGTGACAACTCAACGAAGAAAATAATGCAGGGTAATGAGACAGCAGATGATTGTGGGGTGGGTAAGTGCGTGGTGTGGTTAGGAGAGGCCTCTCTGACACAATGGCACTTGAGGATAAGAAAGAGCCAATCGGCAGAACTCTGGGAGCCCAGCAATGCAAGGGGAGAGCCAGCAGGGGCCAAGGCTTGCCTGCTTGAAGAACAGGAAACAAAAGGCCCATGTGTCTGAGCTGAGTTTGGGAGGACCACCTGGAGTTCTCTGGGTCAGACCCAGAGGGGTGAAGAAGAGGCAGGGCCAGGGGAGTCATTTCAGGGAAAGGGATCCATCAAGTGTGCAATGCGGCAACTGTGCCTTTAATCACGAGTGAAGTCGAAGCTGTGACCAGTAACTGTGACGTCTCCCTGGGGCTGGGTGTTTCAGGTAAAAGTGGTGTTAATGGAGCCAGTGCCGTATTTTCTCTTCTCCATCCGGAGGGAAAGGGCTAGTTCCAGGAAATGCCCTTCCCACGCTGTGACCCTCAGAGTAACATATCACTCACGTGGCAACATCTGTCATGAGAGTTTGCTGAGTATCTGCTCTTTTCCAGAGACTCTAATATGTGTCTTCTCTTTACATTATCCCTTCGGTCAACCCCACTGTACCAACTCCACTTGACAAATGAGGATGCGGAGGCACAGAGAGGTTGGATAACTTGTTCCAAGTTACTCAATTGCAAAGTGCACAAGCTGGAACTCGAACCCAGGTCTTCTGAGGTCAGAACCCATGTTCCTTCCACTATTCCATAGACAAAATTACAGTTATGCTCAAAGAACCAGAGAGGCAAGGTGGGTAATAAGAAGCCAGCACTTATTACCCTGCGGAATCTTACCACAGAACAGGTTTGGTGCTCGGCTTGTGGGTGCCCCAGGCTTCTTTGATGTATGGTTTGGTTTGGTTTGGAACATTTTAATGTTTACTTTGTTACAGTTGTCCCAATGTTTTCCCCTTTGCCTCCCTCCCCCGGCGCACCCGCCAATCCCACAGGCAATCCCCACACCATTGTTCATGCCCATGGGTCATGCATACATGGGGGGACCCCCCAAAATGGAATTCATTGATAAAAATTGTGTATTTATTCTTACATGTTTAAATTTCAAAGTACTCTCCATTTGACGCAATATACCTATTGAGACTTTT